GCGTTGATGTGTAATTTGAGAGAAAGAGACCTGACCAAGGGACTTACTCACATCAGGGTTGATGTGTAATTTGAGAGAAAGTGACATGACCAAGGGACTAACTCGCACTCACACCAGGGTTGATGTGTAAGTTGAGAGAAAGAGACATGACCAAGGGACTTACATCAGGGTTGATGTGTAAGCGGAGAGAAAGAGACATGACCAAGGGACTAACTCACATCAGTGTTGATGTGTAAGTGAAGAGAAAGAGGCCTGACCAAGGGACTTACTCACATCAGGGTTGATGTGTAAGTGAAGAGAAAGAGGCATGACCAAGGGACTTACGCACATCAGGGTTGATGTGAAAGTGGAGAGAAAGAGACATGACCAACAGACTTACTCACATCAGGGTTGATGTGTAAGTGGAGGGAAAGAGAAATGACCAAGGGACTTACTCACATCAGGGTTGATGTGTAAATGTAGAGAAAGAGACATGACCAAGGGACCTACTCACATCAGCGTTGATGTGTAATTTGAGAGAAAGAGACCTGACCAAGGGACTTACTCACATCAGGGTTGATGTGTAATTTGAGAGAAAGTGACATGACCAAGGGACTAACTCGCACTCACACCAGGGTTGATGTGTAAGTTGAGAGAAAGAGACATGACCAAGGGACTTACATCAGGGTTGATGTGTAAGCGGAGAGAAAGAGACATGACCAAGGGACTAACTCACATCAGTGTTGATGTGTAAGTGAAGAGAAAGAGGCCTGACCAAGGGACTTACTCACATCAGGGTTGATGTGTAAGTGAAGAGAAAGAGGCATGACCAAGGGACTTACGCACATCAGGGTTGATGTGAAAGTGGAGAGAAAGAGAAATGACCAACAGACTTACTCACATCAGGGTTGATGTGTAAGTGGAGGGAAAGAGGCACGACCAAGGGACTTACTCACATCGGGGTTGATGTATAAGTGTAGCGAAAGAGACATGACCAAGGGACTTACTCACATCAGGGTTGATGTGTAAGAGGAGAGAAATAGACATGACCAAGGGACTTACTCACATCAGGGTTGATGTGTAAGTGGAGAGAAAGAGACATGACCAAGGGACTAACTCGCACTCACACCAGGGTTGATGTGTAAGTGAAGAGAAAGAGACATGACCAAGGGACCTACTCACATCAGGGTTGATGTGTAAGTGGAGAGAAAGAGACATTTCCAAGGGACCAACTCACATCAGGGTTGATGTGTAAGTGGAGAGAAAGAGACATGACCAAGGGACCTACTCACATCAGGATTGATGTGTAAGTGAAGAGAAAGAGGCCTGACCAAGGGACTAACTCACATCAGGGTTGATGTGTAATTAGAGAGAAAGAGACCTGACCAAGAGACTTACTCACATCAGGGTTGATGTGTAAGTGGAGAGAAAGAGACATGACCAAGGGACCTACTCACATCAGGGTTGATGTGTAAGTGAAGAGAATGAGACATGACCAAGGGACTTACTCACATCAGGGTTGATGTGTAAGTGAAGAGAAAGAGACATGACCAAGGGACTTACTCACATCAGGGTTGATGTGTAAGTGGAGAGAAAGAGACATGACCAAGGGACTTACTCACATCAGGGTTGATGTGTAAGTGGAGAGAAATAGACATGACCAAGGGACTTACTCACATCAGGGTTGATGTGTAAGTTGAGAGAAAGAGACATGACTTAAGGACTTACTCACATCAGGGTTGATGTGTAAGTGGAGAGAAAGAGACCTGGCCAAGGGACTTACGCACATCTGGTTTGATGTGTAAGTGGAGAGAAAGAGACATGACCAAGGGACTTACTCACATCAGGGTTAATGTGTAAGTTGAGAGAAAGAGACATGACCAAGGGACTATCTCACATCAGGGTTGTTGTGTTAGTGGAGAGAAGATAACATTACCAAGGAGTGGAGAAAAAGAGGCCTGACCAAGGGACTAACTCGCACTCACACCAGGGTTGATGTTTAAGTGAAGAGAAAGAGACATGACCAAGGGACCTACTCACGTCAGGGTTAATGTGTAAGTGGAGTGAAAGAGACATGACCAAGGGACTAACTCACATCATGGTTGATGTGTAAGTTGAGAGAAAGAGCCATGACCAAGGGACTTACTCACATCAGGGTTGATGTGTAAGTGGGGAGAAAGAGACATGACCAAGGGACCTACTCACATCAGGGTTGATGTGTAAGTGGAGAGAAAAGGACCTGACCAAGAGACTTACATCAGGGTTGATGTGTAAGTGGAGAGAAAGAGACATGACCAAGGGACTTACATCAGGGTTGATGTGTAAGTGGAGAGAAAGAGGCATGACCAAGGGACCTACTCACATCAGGGTTGATGTGTAAGTGGAGTGAAAGAGACATGACCAAGGGACTTACTGACATCAGGGTTGATGTGTAAGTGGAGAAAGAGACATTACCAAGGGATTTACTCACATCAGAGTTGATGTGTAAGTGGAGAGAAAGAGACCTGACCAAGGGACTTACTCACATCTGGTTTGATGTGTAAGTGGAGAGAAAGAGACATGACCAACAGACTTACTCACATCAGGGTTGATGTGTAAATGTAGAGAAAGAGACATGACCAAGGGACCTACTCACATCAGCGTTGATGTGTAATTTGAGAGAAAGAGACCTGACCAAGGGACTTACTCACATCAGGGTTGATGTGTAATTTGAGAGAAAGTGACATGACCAAGGGACTAACTCGCACTCACACCAGGGTTGATGTGTAAGTTGAGAGAAAGAGACATGACCAAGGGACTTACATCAGGGTTGATGTGTAAGCGGAGAGAAAGAGACATGACCAAGGGACTAACTCACATCAGTGTTGATGTGTAAGTGAAGAGAAAGAGGCCTGACCAAGGGACTTACTCACATCAGGGTTGATGTGTAAGTGAAGAGAAAGAGGCATGACCAAGGGACTTACGCCCATCAGGGTTGATGTGAAAGTGGAGAGAAAGAGACATGACTAAGGGACTAACTCACATCAGGGTTGATGTGTAAGTGGAGGGAAAGAGGCACGACCAAGGGACTTACTCACATCGGGGTTGATGTATAAGTGTAGCGAAAGAGACATGACCAAGGGACTAACTCACATCAGGGTTGATGTGTAAGTGGAGAAAAAGAGAAATGACCAACAGACTTACTCACATCAGGGTTGATGTGTAAGTGGAGGGAAAGAGGCACGACCAAGGGACTTACTCACATCGGGGTTGATGTATAAGTGTAGCGAAAGAGACATGACCAAGGGACTTACTCACATCAGGGTTGATGTGTAAGAGGAGAGAAATAGACATGACCAAGGGACTTACTCACATCAGGGTTGATGTGTAAGTGGAGAGAAAGAGACATGACCAAGGGACTAACTCGCACTCACACCAGGGTTGATGTGTAAGTGAAGAGAAAGAGACATGACCAAGGGACCTACTCACATCAGGGTTGATGTGTAAGTGGAGAGAAAGAGACATTTCCAAGGGACCAACTCACATCAGGGTTGATGTGTAAGTGGAGAGAAAGAGACATGACCAAGGGACCTACTCACATCAGGATTGATGTGTAAGTGAAGAGAAAGAGGCCTGACCAAGGGACTAACTCACATCAGGGTTGATGTGTAAGTGAAGAGAAAGAGGCCTGACCAAGGGACTTACTCACATCAGGGTTGATGTGTAAGTGAAGAGAAAGATGCATGACCAAGGGACTTACGCCCATCAGGGTTGATGTGAAAGTGGAGAGAAAGAGACATGACTAAGGGACTAACTCACATCAGGGTTGATGTGTAAGTGGAGGGAAAGAGGCACGACCAAGGGACTTACTCACATCGGGGTTGATGTATAAGTGTAGCGAAAGAGACATGACCAAGGGACTAACTCACATCAGGGTTGATGTGTAAGTGGAGAAAAAGAGACATGACCAAGGGACTTACTCACATCAGGGTTGATGTGTAAGTGGAGAGAAAGAGACATGACCAAGGGACTTACTCACATCAGGGTTGATGTGTAAGTGGAGTGAAAGAGACATGACCAAGGGACTAACTCACATCAGGGTTGATGTGTAAGTGGAGGGAAAGAGACATGACCAAGGGACTTACTCACATCAGGGTTGATGTGTAAGTGGAGTGAAAGAGACATTACCAAGGGACTTACTCACATCAGGGTTGATGTGTAAGTGTAGAGAAAGAGACATGACTAAGGGACTAACTCACATCTATTCATTTCAGAGATTACCCAATTCATATACATTTGCACGTATCTTTTGCGTTTTTATTTCATTCATGTATCTATAGTTAGACCTACATGTATAATTAAAGTAATTTTTACTGTGTAAACTAATTTATACATGCATACCTCCATTCAAGAATGTTGTAATATACCAGTATGTAAATATTCTTCTTTACAGTCAGGCCTGATAAAAACCCCATTTAAATCGGTTTCCAGATTTTTTCATTTTTTATTTTTCCCCGATTTTTTTCTTCTTCCCGATTTAAAAAAAAAAAAAAAAAAAAAAAAATGAGTTTTACCAGATTTTTTTATCTTCTTCCCTCTTTTATCCTGATTTTACCAATTTCCCCGTTATTTTCTCTAATCTTCCCTATTTGGCCGTATTTTTTCCCAATTTTCTTACTCGAAAGGGGGGAATGTTGTTAGATGCCTTTTTTTCCCCCGCGAATCCTATTCTCTTTTTTTTTACTCAAGGGGGGAGTGGTTGAGGGGAAATTAAAAAAACTTTTTTTTTTTTTTAGTGCTCACTATCACCCCTGTACAGTTAACATTAGTTTTTATGTCAATGGTTCAGACACCAATAAATATCTTCTCACAACTCTAGAAGTCAAAACTTTCATAGATGTGTGTATACCATTTGGATGTTTCATACATGTATAATATCTTTATGTTGTAATATTCATCTCTATAGTTTACTGAAACTAGATATCAAATTAGCACCAAAAAAAAAATCATATGTTTTGTGTCCATAAATTTCACAATTTCAGGATATTTGGGAGTTAGTTTGTTCCTGCACAGTCAGCATGAGCTGATCTTACTATTGATCAACACGATACAGAAAGATCTGAATAGCACTAATGTGCTTGATGTGTGTGGAGGATTGACAGCATGTGGTAATCTTATTGGAGCTGAGATGGTTCCTGTTGTTCTTCCACTTATAGAGCAAAACTTACAACACCCACAGTGAGTTTAATGTTCGTTTCTTTCCACTTATAGAGCAAAACTTACAACACCCACATTGAGTTTAATGTTCCACTTATAGAGCAAAACTTACAACACCCACAGTGAGTTGAATGTTCAGTTTCCACTTATAGAGCAAAACTTACAACACCCACAGTGAGTTGAATGTTCAGTTTCTTTCCACTTATAGAGCAAAACTTACAACACCCACAGTGAGTTTAATGTTCCACTTATAGAGCAAAACTTACAACACCCACAGTGATTTGAATGTTCAGTTTCCACTTATAGAGCAAAACTTTCAACACCCACAGTGAGTTGAATGTTCAGTTTCTTTCCACTTATAGTGCAAAACTTACAACACCCACAGTGAGTTTAATGTTCCACTTATAGAGCAAAACTTACAACACTCACAGTGAGTTGAATGTTCAGTTTCTTTCCACTTAAAGAGCAAAACTTACAACACCCACATTGAGTTGAATGTTCAGTTTCCACTAGTAGAGCAAAACTTACAACACCCACAGTGAGTTGAATGTTCAGTTTCCACTTATAGAGCAAAGCTTACAACACCCACAGTGAGTTGAATGTTCAGTTTCCACTTATAGAGCAAAACTTACAACACCCACAGTGAGTTAAATGTTCGGTCTACCACTTGTAGAGCAAAACTTACAACACCCACAGTGAGTGTAATGTTCAGTTTCCACTTATAGAGCAAAACTTACAACACCCACAGTGAGTTTAATGTTCAGTTTCTTTCCACTTATAGAGCAAAACTTACAACACCCACAGTGAGTTTAATGTTCAGTTTCTTTCCACTTATAGAGCAAAACTTACAACACCCACAGTGAGTTTAATGTTCCACTTATAGAGCAAAACTTACAACACCCACAGTGATTTGAATGTTCAGTTTCCACTTATAGAGCAAAACTTTCAACACCCACAGTGAGTTGAATGTTCAGTTTCTTTCCACTTATAGTGCAAAACTTACAACACCCACAGTGAGTTTAATGTTCCACTTATAGAGCAAAACTTACAACACTCACAGTGAGTTGAATGTTCAGTTTCTTTCCACTTATAGAGCAAAACTTACAACACCCACATTGAATTGAATGTTCAGTTTCCACTTATAGAGCAAAACTTACAACACCCACAGTGAGTTGAATGTTCAGTTTCCACTTATAGAGCAAAACTTACAACACCCACAGTGAGTTAAATGTTCAGTCTACCACTTATAGAGCAAAACTTACAACACCCACAGTGAGTTGAATGTTCAGTTTCCACTTATAGAGCAAAATTTACAACACCCACAGTGAGTTTAATGTTCAGTTTCTTTCCACTTATATAGCAAAACTTACAACACCCACATTGAATTGAATGTTCAGTTTCCACTTATAGAGCAAAACTTACAACACCCACAGTGAGTTGAATGTTCAGTTTCCACTTATAGAGCAAAACTTACAACACCCACAGTGAGTTTAATGTTCAGTTTCCACTTATAGAGCAAAACTTACAACACCCACAGTGAGTTGAATGTTCAGTTTCTTTCCACTTATAGAGCAAAACTTACAACACCCACAGTGAGTTGAATGTTCAGTTTCCACTTATAGAGCAAAACTTACAACACCCACAGTGAGTTTAATGTTCAGTTTCTTTCCACTTATAGAGCAAAACTTACAACACCCACAGTGAGTTTAATGTTTAGTTTCTTTGACACAGACTTAGTCTTCTTTGGTTTACTGAAGGAGCTTATTCTAAAATCAGGCTTTTTGTCTTTTTGTAGCAATGGTTAAATGGGTACTCTAAATAAATGTAGCTCTGTAGGCTTTCAGTGTTATTGAAATTGAATGGAGTATCCAGAGTGAATGATATTACATCCTGTAGTAGATTATTAAGTGCAATGGGTATGGCAGAGCTGCCAACTAGTACGAATGTCCCGTTATTGGTATGGAAATTAACCATTATTACTGAAGTACGGAATGTTGTCTAAATTTACGGATTACACGACCCTCCCCAAAAAAGTATTAAAAAAAAATAATAAATAAATGAATAGTCTAAATAAATAAATAAATAGAATAAAAAATCAACCTGAGCAGCGCCATCTCTGTGAGTATTCCCTAATTGAAAAGCCAATTTTTCATGGAAGACTGATGTGTTACGATGACTCAAAAATCAATATTTAGCCATTTTGTGAGAGTAAAATCAACCCCCTCCCCCCCCCCCCCCCCCAAAAAAAAAGGCTAGGTATTATTTTTACAAAATTTTGTTTTTGTCTTGGCGTCCACGTAGTGTTTTAGTGCCGCTTTTTTAGATTCATGGCGCTTCATAGGAAATTACTGATTTTGATCCTTGTGATTACTGATTTTGTGTTCTGGAGGTTGGCAGCTCTGGTAAAAGTGATGATATTATTTACAATGGTTACTGTTATTTTTTAGAGCGCTTTTCCAGTCACAGGTAACCAATTATGTTTGACAGTGTAATGTAACCTGGTCATTGGATTCAATTACATTACCTTGGTGCATAATTTTACTAGCTGGGGAGCATCCCAATCAGTGGCCATTTTACAATTTGGCTCTTGCTCAACAACTTCATAGATAAAGTAATAAGGACATAAATGCCATTCCAGAGCTCAAACCTGTGAACTTTATATCTTATGTCAAGTACTCAAGCCATGTGACTTTGACAACTGTGCAATAGATTAACATTCACAATATTATTCTACATTTGACATCCATAGAATTTGATAGAGTAAAAGGAGTAAATTAGCTGTAGACACCATTTATTTTGAATTATTCCCAACTATAATAACTAGCTGTACATGTATCATGTTATTGATTTATGCTTTCAGGAAAGAAAATTGCATTATCATATTTGCTGTACATGACAACCCCTGCTGTGTATATTCATATGAATATCCATAGGGAATAATACACAGTGAGGGCATAAGTAAGAATTACCCCCAGAAGGTACTGGGTGTGGGTAATTTTACTAATGCCCGAACAAAATGGTGTGTATTATTTGTTTTATAAGATGATGTTTTATTTTTTTTATAAAATGATGTTTTATAACTTAATTCTACTAATGACTGGTCATTAGCATTTACTAATGACCGGTCATTAGTAAAATTATGTGTTAGACAAAATAAATGCCTGGTCACGTGTCGCTCTCAACCAATCATTTGATTAGGATCCGTTTCATCATTTTATAAATCTTAATAATTGGGCGTGATCATTTATGTCCTTATTTCTAACTTCTAACAGTGAAAGTGTAAGGAGGAAAGCAGTGTTAGTACTCCACAGCTTTGTGCTGAAGTGTCCACATCTGATATGTCACATGAAAGAACATTTGCAACAGGCTTTGTGTGATAGATCACCTGGAGTCATGACTGCTGCTTTACATGTCTATCAAGCACTCATCAAGGTAACCTATACAGTGCCTCCCAGATAAACGAAACTGAGAATTATCGATGTTTTATCATAACTTAGTCACATTTATAATTAATAAATGACACATATTTGGAAAGCTTAGATCCTCCTCTTTCATTTGATGCAAATCATATGAAACATATTTCATGCATGAGTGATTAAAATGAATTTGAAGAGAGGAAACCAAAAAGTCATTTGGCGGACGGTATCTGAATTTCAAAGAGAAAATCACATTTCTCTAGAGTTGAGTCTGCCCTTTCATATGACACCTCAATCGGTTTGTTTAAAGTAGTGCTTGCATTTCCATAATTTCATCAAACGAATTTGTTTTCACCGGCTGCCTGCCATAGCAACAAGCAGAATTGACAAAAGACTTAACTTCGTTTTGTTGACAATCAGCCATGCATAAAGTCTTTCGTCTACGGCTGATTGTCAACGTTTGTTGTTACGGCAGGCAGCCAGTGAAAACGAATTCGTTTAATGAAAAGTAGTAATAGAAGTTGTTGTAGTAGTAGTAGTAGTAGTAGTAGAAGTAGCAGTAGTAGCGGTCATACTTATTGTCGCAGTTGTAGTAAGAGCAAGAGTAGTAGTTTTAATAGTAGTAGCAGTAGGTCGTATAAGTAGCAATCGAAATCTTTCCAGTTTTTAATCATGTGAATTATTATTTGAATCTTTATTGTAGTTGACATTGTAAAGAGTATTTCGTTAAACAAAAAAAATGCATGAATTATTGCGGGGAGACGGACTACATGTAGTTAGAATTTTACTTATCATCTAACATCAGAAGTGATTTTTTTTAAAAGAGGAATCATAAAATGGCTGACTTTTGTCATAAACATGTGTATACAAGTTGAACATATACCAGTAAACAAAATTATTTTGAAAAAAAATTATTTATGGATTTACATTTTAATGTTGACATTTGTATTACTTATACCAAACCGTATAATTTATTGAACACATTTTTTGTTTTCTGGATGTGTCAGTGACTATTCAGTAATTGTCAGGGCATATAAAATTGTATTTCTTATCATTAAATGCATTGGCTTTGGTTAACAGGAAAACACAGAGCATCACAGGTCTTTGGTACGTCCCCTAACCAGTATTCTTAAGCAGATTGTGCAGAGAAAATTGTCCCTGGAATATGAGTTTCGAGGCACACCTGCTCCTTGGTTGCAGATTCAAATCCTGAGGATGCTTGCAAAACTCGGGCTCAATGATCCGAAGTAAGCTTCTTTTAATCTGTTATTCCGATGGACTCAACTACTATAATCCAATCCAGTCTAGGCCTATAAATCAGAGGCACTGATGAGCTGCTGAGTATGCCATTCATGATTCACCTGGGAAAGACTGGGGTATTGGCTAGTTGTAAGCAATGTAGAATACACTGTAGCAAATATGTCTTTCATTGGGTTTTGAAAATTGAAAACGGGTCACATGAGCAAAAATTCTTGGGAAGACTGTTCCATAATAAACTTATGTCACTCATACACAAATATTTGATCATTAGCTGCCAAGTTGCCAGGCTGTAAACAAACATGTATAGGAGAAAATACAGTGGACTTGCTTCCACTGTATGTACTCTGTGGCAATCTTGAGTTTGACTGTATGTTGTAAGCTTCCTCTAAGAGATTTTTCCAAGACATACACTCTCGATAATCCAAATTTAGCTCATGGTAAGACGTGTGTATATATGTAGACTTACCAAAAGTAACCTTCAAAGAGATACTTCTCATACTTTAGGGTTTGACTAGCCACGGTAAGCTCCCTATGTTTAATATTTCAAAGTAAACTTCAATGTTACTATCAAGATTTAGGATTTTAATGATCCAGTAGAAGTTTTGGCTATCTAAGTACTCTGTTCACTTATCAGCAAGCTCAGTCATTTTATTTCTAATAATTAATTCTGATACTTAAAATTTTAATAATCCAGAGTAAACTTGTCTGAGAGATACCTTCTAGATTTAGACTTGAAATAATCCGAAATAATACTCTTAAAAACAGATTATTCATAATTTGTACACCAAGGACTTTTCATTCTGAAAGGTATATATTTCTTTAAAGCCACTGACAGAGAAAAGGTGGTAGTTATAAAATGAAAATTGTAATGGAATTTATTAACTGCTGTAAATAAAGCATTTTCTTGCTCACTATATTGCAGAACAAGTCTAATGATGTATGATGTCCTTGAGGAGGTCTTGGATTCATCCAACACTCTGTCACTGATATCTTGTGGTAAGACTGAGCATCTATTTGTTTACAGCATGTAAGAGATATGTTTATAATTGTGTAGATCGATCACTATTATTTGTAGTACTGTATGTAATATGCTGGCTAAACAGGATGTGAAACTATTTTGTAAAGTTTATTGTAGATACATACACACACACTCACACACACACACACACACGCACACAATACAGAAGTCTTATTTTACAATGATAGCTGTAGAGGTATGTGTTAATGATTTGTGAGCAAATATTGCTTTTCTTTCACAATCTTGTTTTTTGTCATCTCTGTATCAGTTGGTGTGTCCCATGTATGAGAGTTTGGGATGATGTATTCGTCTTCAAGTGATTTTGGAAGTTGATATTTGTATATGTACTTTATAATGTAGATTCCTAGTTCTTTTCCAGTTGATTCTGCCTTGAGGCTCTGCTCAACATATAAAATGTGTAACTTCTTACTTGGCTGTTTGTATGAGAAAAGGGTATGGCCTCCAATTTTTTTCAGCAGCATATTTTCAAGGTACGTAGTCCTCCTATAAATTGTGCAGCGAGGTCCCCTGTACACGTTGATACCGAACAACCTTTTACACCACTCCATGTCTCAAGAACCTGCTGTGCCCATTGGTGCCCATGTAACACCTATTTATGTCATCCAAATAAGTAGGAACCTGTCAATAATGAAAGAGTAATTTCGTGATTGGTTTCAATTATTGCAGGTGTCCAGTATGAGTGCATCATGACCATTGCAAACATCCATCCCAAACTTAGTCTGTTGAAGAAGACTTCTATCTGTATCACTAGGTTCCTGAAGTCACAAAGCAATAATCTCAGGTACCTAGGTAGGTAGCCATTTCTTTATATTATTCTTTATGACAAAATTCCTGGGGGGACAAAAGCAACAATCTCAGATACCTCCATGTATGTCGGTAGTGATTTTTGTTATATTATGCAGCCCTACAGTTCCTCTTGTTATTGCTCATCTTGAGAGGAACACTATTCCTTGATGCATCCTTTTAACATCTTTGTAGGAAGTTTCAAAAGATTTGTTAATCTCCCCATAATTTGGAATGCCATACCAAGTGATATATCCAATTGCAATAGTCAAGGACTATTTAAGAGTTCACCAGATATTTATAAATGTAACTCAATAGTTCAGAGCTCCAATATATTTTAATATGTACCTACTTTTCGGCATTCCCCCTCCCCCTACCTCACACATTTTCTATATCACATATAATTGAATATCAATTAATGGCATACATGTATATAACGCCCACAACAAGAGTATTTTGTTTGTAAAGAGGAGTTACTTGACAAGGCTCCTTTGACTTTTCAATTCAATTATGAATGCATTGTCACAGTTGTTTGGATAATTGTATGTCAGTACAATTATTTGTGTAAGAATATAATGTCAACATGTTCCCTGTATTGCACTGTATATTTTTTTTTTCAAACCTGAAAATGGAAATAATCAAACAACAAACAACATTATTTATGTTGAGAAAGAAAACATTTTTTTTTTGTCCAAACCATTAGGTAGAATATCAAAATTGGGCACGTTGAAAGCCCCTACAGCACCAAAATGTATGATGCTCTTCAATACATGACAGGAATATCAGATTCATGAAAGCAAAACTATTTTCATGTACAAATTAAATTTAGATAATATCAGTATTAATAGTGACAATAATGATAATGGTGTGTGATGGTAGTGGTTGCATTTTATCCCGAGGTTTTGGGCTTCCATTACTTCCTCTTTTTCCCTTTCTTTACATGTTTTTGTAGGTGTCAATGCTTTAGGAGTCATCCATAAAGTGCATCCTGAATTCAGTAGAGAACACCAGATGACAGTTGTAGAATGCTTGGAGGATGAGGATCCTACTATTAAACAAGCAGTAGGTTTTTCTATCATTATCTACCAACCAATGTGGAATGTATGTATTCCAAACTAGGTTGTAAATAATAACGACAGTGATCACCACTCATTTAAATAATAGTAAATATGTAGAATGAGTGCATAAGGAACAAAGATGAAATTGTTGATATGTGATCTGTTGTCTCAAAACCACCAATAAAGATGTGGTCACACCGGCAAGATTCCAAGGCATCTTTTGACAAAACCATCATAAGTGCAATTTTGCTGAGATCCAAACGAAATAGTTTTAATTGCTCTAATGGATGTGGGAGAACTTGTACTTACGATGGATTTGTGACATGATGCCTAGGAATCCTTGCATAGAATTGTTCTGATTATCTGTCTTTCTTTTGATGTCCTTTCCATTGCATTGTACAAAGCTTTAATAATAATGGCTATCAAGACAGTGTCCTCGGGTACAGATAGTGTGCATCATAATTAGTATTCCCAAAATGTACATTTTCATTCACAAATCTTTGAGCAAGTTATGCTGTGACGACTGCTGTGCATATGAGCATTATGATTTGCTGAAGTTGGCAAATAAATGTCATCACGTAAAAGTACAAAACTTTGGTACAGGGCTTGTATTGTTGTACTCTGATTCAGACCCATATATATAAACTCTCAGACTTGAATTTACTGGCTGCCTGTATGTCATAGAGAACGTAGCCTTCAGTATTGTAAATGTTAATTTATGTTTACCTGACTTTATCACATCTCAAAGAAACTGATCTTTCCTTTCAGCTGCTGCAAAGTTGTGGTACAAGCTACTTACCAACCTAAAGACTGCTGTGAACCAATTTTGTAGCTCATCTATTTGTTATATTTGGATTTTAGTGTTTAATTTGGTTCAACTGGTCTTTTAAAGTTGATTATATATTGTGAAAGTAGGCTGTACTCTTGCGGAGCAAACTTTGAAGTGCTTTGTAACATCGAGGATAATTGTACTTTATTGTAATATGCTATTGGATTGGATGGGGTGATGGTTAGACTGAAGTGGGGAGAATACATGTACCTTCTACTCCTTGTTTGACTCTTCCTTTTAGATCACTGTCTAGATTACTAGTTAGTGGTATTCTCTCTTATTCTATTACAGACAATGAATCTGCTATATGAGATGTGTAGTGCAGACAACATTAGTGTGATACTGGACAAGGTATTAGATCATCTCATTTCCAGCAGTATGGAGACATTTGATCACAGTGAACACATCAACAAGATGGTGTCTTTAGCTCACCAATATCCTTTTCATTACTATTATTGTTGTTTTATGTATTTGTTTTGGAGGGGGATGAAGAAAAAGAAAATCAACGATTTTTAAGTTGTTTTTCATTAGAGACGTGCATGCTGTTTATCAATAGACGTTAGATTTAATTTCCTTAACATTGTCATACATTCCATCCGAGTATAAGGTGGTATGTAATCATCATAGTAAAGATTCTGAATCTATGTGGTACCAACATTCCTGCAAACACCATCAATAATCTCATTACTTCCATACAAATGCAGGGTGAGTATTTCTTTGTTCAATTACTATTTCCTTGTGTCATGTGTAACGTATAATTGAGGGGGATTTGAATTGTTCATTATCACAAAATAATTTTAATGATGTTTTGAGTTTGCCAGGAAATCGGTTAAAATCAATATTAAATTTTAATTCATTTGTAACATCATACATAAGTTCAAAGGGCTTTTCTTTTTATGATGAATTGGCTGCCTCTCAATAGACTTTAAACCTTTAGGAGACATAAAGCAAACACACCTGTAACAAGTTTCATACATTTAGTGTGCCACCCATTGCAGGCACTGAAAATGTACCATTAGAATATGTAGCTCTACCGTTGAATTAGTTAATTTTTTATTATAGGGAACTTAATTTCATATCTTCTTCATCTCTATGAAGAACCCAAAGAAGCAGGATTGATTTCATACCTTGTTGAAGAGATGCTCACTGTAGCCAACCAGACTCATCTTTCAGAGGATCTGATAAAACTCATAGTTTGGGTAGGTTTAAACATACCATTCCTTTATTTCATTTCCTTTGACTTATGTTATTCACTTCTACATGGCAGCATACTGTAGCAATAATAATAAAATTATGCTTAAATATTTAAATGTTTACATCAGGCAGTTTTGTAAACTCCACTTCCATCTCATTTTACTTTCTTAACACCTGTATACTGATGGCTCATTTGTTATGGTGTTTGTGGGATCACTACAAAGCCTGCTTATCTCCCACCACAGTGCTACCTGACTAGTTATTATTCTTGTCCCACAAAAGGGTTTCAGAGGTATTATCAGCCAGGCCTATATAAGGCCTGAACTTTAAATTCTGGTTCACAGATGTCAGATACACTGTATCATATGAATTATATGTTATGTCTAGATTATACCATTGCATAATATAAATATACCGGTATGTATTTCAGTTATAATTTTGAAGTCTCTAATAATAACATCCATTTTGTACTAGATTTTAGGAGAATTCAGTCACTCAGAGATGTCAACCGTCCCTGGCTCTGAAGCATTGGCTGGATTAGTTGCCCTGCTTTCCAAGACAATGTCACCTACTACCAGATGCTGTGTAGTAGCAGCTATTACCAAAGCAGTTTTGAAGAGTGGACTAGTATCCGAGAATGTCACAAAGACTGCTGTAACTCTACATGCACAAAACAATATTCATGTTAAACAGGTATATCAAACTTAGATACTGGTGTATGATTATTAGTTTTAATCCAAACGTATTAATTTTATAAATCTATTAATTAGTTTTTTAAGGATTGATGGACAAATAAAATCAAAAATATATATGAATTTTCAAATATTTTAGGGCTTGTACATGTTTTGTTATGTCCTTGAATTACACAATCAGATGTAGGCTTTAAATTAGTTTGGTTAGCAAAACAAAGTGGCATGAGAAGATGCATTCCAGAATGCACAATACATAATTGTTGAAAATTATAGTTTTATAGCATTGTGAAAGAACCCTATTTCTATGACACAGGACGAGGAACTATCTCAGTCTACTACTTTGATTAGAATTTAAATGTCAACTTACGAATTTCCATTCACTGTTTGGCCCTTTTGCATTCCGTATGCGTCTTTTCCGGCCATTACATATTGCTAAGCTCCCTTTGATACCCATGGACTGCAAAGCACACTATTATGAAAGTGGCTGCAATATCCTGACCAAAATCATAGAAACTTAAGACCAATTTAGTCATTTGCAATATGACATTTGCAATGGCATTTAGTATTATATTTCATGATGATTTTGACAGTTATGAATGTCAGTTTATTTCATATATATATACACACAAAACCATTTAATCTTTCGTTGCATTTAACTCAGGGTTCCTATGAACTTGAAGTGCTTTGCTCTGACCCAGAACTCATATCAGCATTGCCAAACATAACAAGGGATCAGGTAAAGTATTTTAATTACTTGGTTATTATATAAAAACTGTTCCAGGAACGTTATGTAGAAAAGAAAAAAGAAATTCATTATATTTTGATGTACAACAATGTGGACATTTCTCTCCAAATATGTTTCATTTAAATGACCAATTTGCCAATTTTAGAATTACATAGCTTTAATGATCCCCTATTCTAAACAGTCATATCTTTCTTCTTTTTTGTCAAATTAAAACAAATTTTATCCATTTGTTTATCTTGTTTGTGTGCTTTCACACTACCTGCTTCATTACAAGTATTCTTGAATGTTAGTTGCCAAATGAATGCAAAGGCAGTGAATTGGTTTGAAACATAATACTGCCCATTTGACTTTTGATACAAAGGAGTCTACAAGTATTTTTTTCAAAAGTTTGATGTGTTTGCAAAAATGACCCTTCTGATGCAGTTTTTTGTTTTATATATATATATATATATAGTTTGACTGGACTTTATCTTTCCTGGATGGCTATGTCTCTGAAGCCCTGGGGAATGGAGCTGCTCCTTATAAACCCAAACAACAAAGATCAGCAGAAAAACATAATAGTCCTGAAGGTATTTATGTCATGCTCTCTATATTACTTTTAATAGTGACAACCAATGGCAGTGTGTCCAAACATATCCCAAATGTCATGGTATAATTAAGAACTTCTTTTTTCTGTGACTCAAATTATAGATTCATTACAGAAGCTTTCAGTTCTAGAAACGTTTTTACCTTTGGCAAAAGTAATCTACATGTATCTGTTTTGTTTGTGGAAGTGAAATTGGATTCATTCCCTGAATGTACAGAATAGTGTTTATATAGTATTGACCATTTTCATCATAGATTCATCTTCTACTTAATTGAACAAAGAGGTATAGATCCTTGAAGTGGTAACATCTCATATGAAACGTATGAACAAAGTATTGAAATACAAGATGTATCTGATGGATGGAAAAATCTAAATTACTGTAATTGCTTAAAAATAAATTCCATACAGCTGTATCATGAATTCAGTTCATGTATAATTGTTTATGGATTTTTGTAATTAATACAATTTCTACCCTAAAGCCAAACATTGTTTTGTCAGTTATTCATTTAGCAAAATGAATATAAAGAGTAAAGAAGGGATTGCAAAAATACAGGAACTGTGACAGATTTGTTGTACTGAGCGAGCTGGGAAGATTCACCGGTAATTAGCTCAATATACTTGTTAATTGCTTGCAGCGAGAAGCCATTGCGGTCCTTTATCATTATTTGCTGACATCTTTTAGCTTAATTTAAGTTAACAGATTATTTCAATTCATTTTCAATTTATTACAACAAATCATTACAAATCAATTTTAAACATTCACATTAATTTAGGAATATATATGAGAAACAGAGGGGTCCACTAGAAAGCAATGCTTGTACAATTGTGGACCCCTCAAATGATACTTATGAAAAATGAGTAATTAAATTCACAAGTTTGTAACTACAAAAGGAAGTACAAAAAAGGGGGATGCCAACAGAGACGAGAACGGGACAAGAAAGTGCTTTACATGACAAAGATAGGAGAACACGGTCAAAACACAAGAAGTAGACAATGCCGAAAAAGAAGTGAGATATCTGGGGTACAGAAAATAATACAAAAGGATGAGCTGCATGTGGGATTGAGAAGAAGATGAGGAAAACAAAATGCGTATTAGACAGGAAATAGGCATGAGAGGGCACAATATAATATGTTATATAATGTGGGACTAAAAAAAAACCTTTCTTTTGGGGTCTCTGGCTTTTGACTAATGAAATTCTCTGTTGGACTTTTTTTTTTCAAACTAAATCACAAATCAACCAATTTAAAAAAAAATCTGATGTAATTTTAACATCCTTTTCACTGAATATGTTTATTTCTTGTAGTAATGAGGCCATTTCTGTCTGGTCTAAACTTCAGCCCATATGCCTTAAACTCTGCTTCTGTGATGACACCAACTGAATCTTCTAGCTCTGTTACCCTTAACAACCAAGAGGCTGCCAGTGTTTCATGGTCTCCATCTCAATCACTTAGCTCTGATGCTACTGGAAGCAGTATCGATGTAGAGTTAGCAACAAGGTACTGCTATTTAGAAAAAAATATGTATACATGTCCATATGTAGTATTGGTAGTATTGGTATGAATATTCCAAGACATTTCTTGATATTCTGTATTCAGCAGATCTCTTTCAGCATGTGAAAGGATCTACTCACCGGGCTGGGCATACACTAGATCTTTTGATTTCCAGGAAGGAGGACGACAACTTTGTTCTCAATACTGATATAATTTCTGGATTACCATCTGATCATTTAGCTGTTTCCTGTACCCTCAACTTTGATCGTCCTGCACCAACTAAGAAGCGAATTGCATGCAGGAAGTTTCGGAGCATTGACCTGGATCAACTCCGGAATGACATCCAGAACTCATCTCTTGCAGCAACAAATGACACAAATGCATCTGATATGGCGGACAGATACAACTTGGTGCTCAAAGATTTACTTGACAAACATGCACCTGAAAACCTGACACTAATCTCACTCAGGCCGAACGCTCCTTGGTATAACGAGACGGTCCGCGAAGCTAAGCGGATGAGACGGCGTGCTGAGCGCAAATCTGCCAAATCTGGCCTTGAGATTGACAAACAGATTTACGACGTGCAATGTAAATCTTACAATGATATCCTGTGTGCTTCGAAATCGCAATATCTAACGAATGAGATAGCACAGAGTGACACTAAGGGTCTGTTCCAGATTGTACAGAAGTTATCCTGTCCAAAATCACAGCAGGTCCTACCAAACCGAGACTCCAATGAGGATTTGGCAGACGAATTTGGAGAGTTCTTTCATGATAAGATTGGCGATCTTGTCAATAGTCTTGAAGTATCCTGTAATACGATGGACTTCGAGAGTCAGCCTACCTCTAAAGCAATATCTCAGTTTGAACAGGTGTCTGAAAGTACTGTTCGAAAGGTAATACGGGAGAGTCCTTCAAAATCATGTCAACTAGACCCCGTGCCTACCTGGTTGATGAAAGAGTGTTTAGATGAGCTCCTGCCATTCATAACTGAACTTATAAATCTATCCTTGTCGTCCGGAATAGTACCCGCAGCATACAAGAAATCTCACGTGATTCCACTTCTGAAGAAGAAGCAATTGGATCCAGATGAATTCAGGCATTACAGGCCAATCTCCAACTTGATGTTCATTTCAAAGGTCCTTGAGAGGATTGTCACAGCTCAACTTCGTGCATACCTAGAGACGAACGACCTGTTCCCGTGTATGCAGTCTGCGTACAGACAGTTCCATTCAACAGAGACTGCCCTCATCAAAGTCTACAATGATCTGCTACTGGCTGTCGATAGAGGGCTAGAAGCTGTTCTGGTTTTGCTTGATTTCTCGGCTGCTTTTGAAACCATAGATCATGCCAAATTGATGTGTCGTCTGCGTCATGATTATGGATTTGATGGAAAGGTACTGCAGTGGCTTGCTTCTTACCTGGAGGACCGTCATCAAGTTATTGTTGTCAACAGAGTTCCTTCTAAAGCATTCCCACTCCCCTGGGGTGTCCCCCAAGGATCCGTTCTAGGACCTCTGCTCTTTTCACTGTACACGGGTCCGCTCAGTGAGGTCATCCATGCTCATGATGGCGTTATGCATATGATGTATGCCGACGATACGCAACTGTACATAGTGCTCAAGCAAAGTGATGCTTCCAGTTGCATTTCCAAGCTCAGCAGATGCGTCAGTGACATGAAAAGCTGGTCCTGCGGCAATAATCTTGTGTTCAACGGCACAAAAACAGAAGCTATGCATATAACTTCCATGTTTCGCAATTCCAGTGTGCTACCTGATCTTAACATGGATGGCACAACAATCACTCTTTCCCAATCTGCCAAGGATCTGGGAGTCACAGTGGACAACGTGCTAAATGTGAACCAGCATATACGCAACGTGTGTCGTATCGCAGCTTTCGGGATCCACAAAGTTGGAAAACTGCGAAAATTTCTGGATCAAAGTTCTACTCATCGTCTTGTTAATGCCCTTGTAACTTCCCACCTTGATTACTGTAATGGACTATTAATCAATCTCCCTAGCTCTCATTTAGCCCCTCTTCAACATATTCAGAACACAGCAGCACGCCTCATCACACGTACAAGAAAACATGAACACATCACACCGATCATTCGTTCTCTACACTGGCTCCCCCTCCAACAACGTATCAAATTCAAGATTCTCATGCTGACATACAAGGCCTTTCACAAACTTGCTCCCTCATATCTTTCGGCACTCATCACTCCTAAAACTCGTACTTCATCTATGCGTCTCAGATCATCATCCACAGCACATCTTCATCTTGCCCCAGGCCCTCGCACCCACACCCGCTATGGAAATCGTGCCTTTTCTGTCTGTGCCCCCCAACTTTGGAACAATCTTCCCCATGAAATACGCGAGTCCCCAACCTTAGAGACATTCAAAAGTAAACTTAAGACTTATCTGTTTAATATGTAATGTAATGTAATCATATTTTGTTTGTTTAACTATTAACTATTATTATTGTATGATTGTTATTAGGAATTTGTTAATTATAATTATGTATCATGTATTATATTCTTGTAATTTGTAGGTTAACATTACTTTAATTTAATTTTTTTGTTAAGCGCTTAGAAACTTTGTATTAAGCGCTATATAAATGTAATTTATTATTATTATAATAGATTGACCAGATTAATCTAACTATGTTACCATACATTCAGAAATTGTGCAATTTTCCTGTTATTAGTGTTTCTTCTTTTTTTAATGACACCTAGGCCAATATTAACTCCCTGTTTGTTGACTACCTGTTTGTTGACTCCCTGTTTGTTGACTCCCTGTTTGTTGACTTTCTGTTTGTTGACTCCCTGTTTGTTGACTTCCTGTTTGTTAACTTCCTGTTTGTTGACTTCCTGTTTGTTGACTCCATGTTTGTTGACTTCCTGTTTATTGACTCCCTGTTTGTTGACTCCCTGTTTGTTGACTCCCTGTTTGTTGACTTTCTGTTTGTTGACTCCCTGTTTGTTGACTTCCTGTTTGTTGACTCCCTGTTTGTTGACTCCCTGTTTGTTGACTCTCTGTTTGTTGACTCCATGTTTGTTGACTTCCTGTTTGTTGACTCCCTGTTTGTTGACTCTCTGTTTGTTGACTTTCTGTTTGTTGACTCCCTGTTTGTTGACTTCCTGTTTGTTGACTCCCTGTTTGTTGACTCCCTGTTTGTTGACTCCCTGTTTGTTGACTCCATGTTTGTTGACTTCCTGTTTGTTGACTCCCTGTTTGTTGAATCCCTGTTTGTTGACTTTCTGTTTGTTGACTCCCTGTTTGTTGACTCCCTGTTTGTTGAATCCCTGTTTGTTAAATCCCTGTTCATTGACTTCCTGTTTGCCTACTAGCCCGGCAGCCCAGAGCACTTTGATCAAACGAACAAGGTACCAATATCTGAGTATTGGAACATTTGGGGAAAAACCAAGGATATCCAAATGTGGATGTCTGCCGGGGTCCCTCTGCTGCATGTGCCCACTGGGGCCAGTTAAGAGGGGCCCAAAAATGCTTCTGATCAAACGAACAAGGTACCACTTGAAACCAGTGTTAACCAAATGCATGAATGCCACAGAGCACTGAATGGCCCATGCCAGACAAAATTTCTGCTGCTAAGGGCCCGACAGACGCCCCCAAAGGGGGCCCCTAAAAATGCATTTGATCAAATGAACGAGGTACCACTTGAAACCAGTGTTAACTAAATGCATGAATGCCACAGAGCACTGAATGACCCATGCCAGACAACATTTCTGCTGCTAAGGGCCCGCCAGACGCCCCCAAAGGGGGCCCCCTAAAAAATGCATTTGATCAAACGAACGAGGTACCACTTGAAACCAGTGTTAACTAAATGCATGAATGCCACAGAGCACTGAATGGCCCATGCCAGACAAAATTTCTGCTGCTAAGGGCCCACCAGACACCCCCAAAGGGGGCCCCCTAAAAAATGCATTTGATCAAACGAACGAGGTACCACTTGAAACCAGTGTTAACTAAATGCATGAATGCCACAGAGCACTGAATGGCCCATGCCAGGCAAATTTTCTGCTGCTAAGGGCCCGCCAGACGCCCCTCAATGTGGCCCAAAGCCCATATATGTAGCATTAACCCAGATTAAATATGCAAGGTACCACTCAAAATCAGTTTTGAATGGTCAGGTTTATCTTACAGACTACGGAAATCATCATGTTCAATAAATTTCCTCCTGCAAATGGGCCCACAGACACACTGAAAAAGTGGGCCCCAAATGGGCCATGATCAAATGAAGGAGAAACCATTTGAATCTAATTGTAACTTAATAGTTGAATGCCACAATGCACTGGATGGCCCATACCAGACACATTTTCTGCTTCTTAGGGCCTGCCAGACGCCCCCAAAATGTGGCCAAATGCCTATTATTGTATCATTGACCAAAGTTTATTATAAAGACCTACTTTAGGTACGACTCAAAATCGATTAGGAATGGTCAGGTTAATTGCACAAACTAAGGAAATTACCATGACAAATTTTCTGCTGCAAAGGGGTCGTCAGACACACCAAGAAAGGAGGGCCCCACACGGCCCATGGACAAATATCAGTGATACTATTTGTACATAAAAACAATATGAAATAAAAAGGCACATTCCACAGAGTAAATAACTGCCGCTGTAAGACAAATGTTATTCCGAATAGGGCCCAACAGATAGAAAAATGGGTGGCTCAATGTGGATACTGGGCCTAAGGAATTGAACATTAACGTAGATTAAATTTGCCTTGAAACATGACATTTCAAGCAGATTCCATTATTGCAATCCTAAGTTTGATTACAGAATTAAAACATGGTGTATTCTACTAAATAAATATGGTGACTATCAGAATTCTACTCAAGACATGTGACCTCATTTTACTACAACTAACAACTAACAGTAACATAGCATATGCCTATACATTGTATATGTTTCTCAGCAACACCACAAGTTACAGAGGATCTATTGTAATCCCTTATAATCTCTCTGTATCTCTATATCATTCCTTCCCTTCTTCTCCCTCTTATCTCCACTCAAATAGAAATTCGAATTATCAAGTATAGTCTTGTGTTATGTTTAATATGTTATATAAATTGTGTTTTAAATATGTAGATATTGAATACTTATTACATTCATTGTCAACCTCAAATAAGGGCCCTTATTCTATTTGGCTGCTGCATACTTCATAATACATGTACTTAGCTGTTTATAGTATTCAACTATTTAATGTGATGCATCTCATCCTTTAAACAAATTTCCTGTAATATTTGATGCTTCCATTGAAATGAAATGAATGAATGACCGTTTATGCCCTACACGGGACCAGCAATTGTTCGAGTTTCTTTAGCTATTAGCTGCTCTAAGCAAAATTACTTGTATGGAACAACATTTCATGCCATAGGCCTAAGAAAAAGAAACACTGTCATTTATATCAGGTTGCATTTTACAATGAATGAAGAATACTTTCTTCCAATCAATTTCAAAGTTCAACCATAAAACAGTATTGTAACTAATGACAGCATTTCTTCTCTGTAATTGAGGCATTTGCCCTTAGACTCTTGTAGATGCTAATAATTTGGTGGAATGACATAAACACAATTCGACAAATCGAGCCTGTAACCCTCAATTATCAAGAGCCTGCTTGATTAGTATTTGGTTTATAGCAAGACTGGAAGAATCATTTAATTATGTTGAACGTTGAATAGGAAAGTGAGTAAATGCCATAATTTAGCAAACATTGCAAACATTATTTTCATGTATGTCTACCTTAAAAAAAGTTTCCGGATGGTGCACTAGTGAATCTCAGTTGGAATGTCATATTTCTCCATTTTGAGTCAAATATCGGAAATGTGTTACATCGCTTCATATTTCATGAGAGTTATACAACGCTTGTCCAGAGTGTGAGTATAACCATTTAGATTAGTAACTCCATGGTATAACCAACTAGGCCTACATTCTAACTGAACTAGCTGAAACAAAAATCAATGGGATATACTGTTAATATGTTGGTCAGCCCATTGGATTGGACGTACATGTAGCAGGGTTGGCCGGGATGATACATCCCCCAGCAGTTGACCAACGAAGCACAGGCGCACAGAGTTCCAAGCTGGGAATTAATAGGACTCTACTAGCTCAACACGACTAAAGAACTAGACTAGGCGTAAATATTCAAATTTGACTGAATGCCAAAAATACAACAAACAACAACAACAACATTAGATGGCAAACCAGATATAGAGGCTAATGTGATCCAAGTGTGCTTTAATTTTTTTTCTTCCATACTGGAAAGTTTGCTTGGAGCAGGAAATATAGTTAAAGAAACAAAAACAATAGCTGGTCCAGTGTAGGGCATTATATTCATTCATTTAACCAATTTCAGTGGAAGCATAAGAAATTACAGGAGAATCATAAAAAGATAAGATACATCATATCAAATAGTCAAATATTATAAACAGGTAAGTAAATGTATGCTACAGTAGCAGGCAGCACCCAAAAGAGCATAAGGGCCCTTATTTGAGGTTGACAATGAATGTAAAAAGAATTCAATATCTACATATTTTAAACACATTTCATATCGCATAACAAAGGACTACATGTATACTTGTTAAGTCCAAGTTCTGTTTGAGTGCAGATAAGAGGGAAAAGAAGGGAAGGACTGACATATAGAGATACAAAGATATAATAATGTGACCTGAGGAGGGAGTGCAATAGATCCTCTGTAACGTGTGGTATCATATGCTATATGTTACTGTTAGCTGTCAATTGGAGTAAAATCGGGTAACATATGTCTTAGGTAGAATATTTATTAAGTAGTATACACCACATTTTAATTCTGTAATCAAATTTAGGATTGCAATAATGTAATCTGCTTGAAATGTCATGTTACAAGGCAAATTTAATCTACATTAATGTTCAATTCCTTAGGCCCAGGTTCCACATTGAGCCACCCTGTTTTCTATCTGGTGGGCCCTATGTAGATTAAAATTGTTCTTGTATCGGCAGTTATTTATTCTGTGGAATATGCTCTTTTAATTCATATTGGTTTTGTGTAGTTTCTCTTATGTTTGTTCATGGGCCATTGGGGCTCCTCTTTTTTAGGGTGTCATTCGACACTTTTGCAGCAGAAAATAAGTATGTCATGGTAATTTCCTTAGTCTGTAAGAATGAACCCGACCATTCCTAATCAGTTTGAGTAGTACCTAAAGTAGGCCTTTATATTAAACGTTGGTCAATGATACAATAATGGGCCTTTGGCCACATTTTGGGGGCGTCTGGCAGGCCCTAAGAAGCAGAAAATGTGTCTTGCATGGGCCATTCAGTGCATTGTGGCATTCAACTATTAAGTTATAATTAGATTCAAATGGTTTCTCCTTCATATGATCATGGCCCATTTGGGGCCCACTTTTTCAGTGTGTCTGTGGGCCCATTTGCAGGAGGAAATTTATCTGGCATGATGATTTCCGTAGTCTGTAAGATAAACCCGACCATTCAAAACTGATTTTGAGTGGTACCTTGCATATTTAATCTGGGTCAATGCTTATTATATGGGCTTTGGGCCACATTTATGGGCGTCTGACGGGCCCTTAGCAGAAATTTTGTCTGGCATGGGCCATTCAGTGCTCTGTGGCATTCATGCATTTAGTTTACACTGGTTTCAAGTGGTACCTCGTTCGTTTGATCAAATGCATTTTTAGGGGGGTCCTTTGGGAGCGTCTGGCGGGCCCTTAGCAGCAGAAATTTTGTCTGGCATTGGCCATTCAGTGCTCTGTGGCATTCATGCATTTAGTTAACACTGGTTTCAAGTGGTACCTCGTTTGTTTGATCAAATGCGTTTTTAGGGGGCCCCCTTTGGGGGCGTCTGTCGGGCCCTTAGCAGCAGAAATTTTGTCTGGCATGGGCCATTCCGTGCTCTGTGGCATTCATGCATTTAGTTAACACTGGTTTCAAGTGGTACCTCGTTCGTTTGATCAGAAGCATTTTTGGGCCCCTCTCAACTGGCCCCAGGGGCCACATGCAGCAGAGGGATCCCGGCAGACATCTACATTTGGATATCCTAGGTTTTTCCCCAAATGTTCCAATACTCAGATATTGGTACCTCGTTCGTTTGATCAAAGTGCTCTGGGCTGCCGGGCTATACTCCCTGTTTGTTGACTTCCTGTTTGTAGATTCCCTGTTTGTTGACTCCCTGTTTGTTAACTTCCTGTTTGTTATGTTTTGTGTGGATGCACTAATATAGAGTAATTTTTCAGTTAAATCATGAAAAATGTGAATTTTGATAAACTATTTAGATAAAAAATCAATAATTATGAGTATACAATATTCCAAAAATAGTAGCAATTCTACAAAGTTCATAACAGATTTTGTGCAATATGATACAAATCATATAGCTTGGGCGAAGGCATGGGGAAATCAAGTTTTGGGGATAAAAAGAGAAATAAATGGAATTAAACTATATAAAGCAATTGACAAATAGTGAGGACACGACGTCTCAAATTGATAACCAAATTTGCAATTTGTGTACCGGTAGTGATTTCCATTGGTCTATAGTTTTACATACTTTTTCAAAACTTCATAACTTTCTTATTAGTTACCTGATTTTGCTCAAACTTTTTTGATTGGTTTGTCTGATTTTTCTGCTTCTATTGAAAGTAATTTATTTTTGGAGTGGACTTGCCCTTTAACTCCTTGTTTTTTCAATCCCCGTTTGTTGACTTCCTGTTCATTCCCTGTTTCTTTGTTTTTTCTTTGTTTTTTCTTTGTCTTTGCTATTTCTTGAACAGACCTTCATTGAAGACTGAGGGAATCCAGAAACTTTGGAGTCAAACTGGATACAGTAGAAAGAAAGAAGGCAATAGGAAGAGACTCTCTCCAAATAAAAACAACACAGTACAAGCAACACAGGAAGATGGCAGAAAAGATAAACAACCTGCAATGCATGTAAGAATTTATTTTTTGCCATGGTTTGAGAATATTGTCTTCTGTTTATTTTGTATGATATCATTCCGATACATCTTTATTCCACTTGATTTTGATCAACACAGAGAGGTTTATCTCATATTGATTTCTACAATGTACAGTACATGTATATTGTGCTATATGGGTAATTCCATAAATTAGGGGCCCACCTTGTGATGTGTCCCACTAACATAAGGAACTCACATGTATTTGTGACTCTGAGTAAACACTTGAATAGTGGAGTGAGATTGGTCAGAGATTCTAGGTATGAGGATGCAATATTGTGCTTGGAAATCACTTTACAATCTCACTCCACTATTTAAAGGGACTTTGTAACATTGTTCAGATGAGAGATAGTGGTGCTAAGGTAGTGACTTCAATGCTACTTCAATGGGACTTTGTAACATTGTTCAGATGAGAGATAGTGGTGCTAAGGTAGTGACTTCAATGCTAGATGAACAATTAAAGATAATCTGAAAATTTGAGCCAAAACGGACCATTATTCATGATACAAATTGGGAAAAACTGATCCGATCGATTCCTTAATTCTCCCAACTATATTATTACAATTTAATTACATTTTACGTGAATGGAAATCTCACAAAGCAATAAAATTCCATTCCAGACATTTAAGTGTTGACAGATTTTGTATAGCCTGTTTTTATATCTTTTTTTTCATGGAAAAACGGTTGGGAAAATTAAAAAATGGTTGGGAAAATTTAGATTCAGAAGTGCCGCACATTGACGCCCGTTCGAAAACCTGTTGAACTTTGTTAAAAATCTTCATATTGCGTGAATTAATTTCGGATTTGGGGCATCGTAGTTTGATAATCCATACATACAAACATAATTTTACATGTTTTGCATCCTGATTCAACAGATTTGTGAAATCAACCATCACAATGTTACTAAGTACCTTTAAGTCTTTACTCAGAGCCACAAATACATGTGGGTTCCTAATGTTAATGGAACACCAAAAATGTCACAAAAGTGAGTCCCTAATTTATAGAACTACCCATATCCTATTGTCTGAGCATATGATTAGATTTAAAGGTCTGTTATGGTCATTTTTTAGACTACAAAATAGATTTTAGTGAAATTATTGTTTTCCTTCTCTGTTTAGATGACACCAGTAATAGCTGTAGGCATGTCAACTCTTCATACAGCTGAAAGTGAAGAGGACAAAAGGAAACAAGAATTGGCAAAGGCTTTATTTGGAGCTGTGAGAACGCAAACGGAGAAAGATGAGGTAAATATCAAGATAAAGAAATGAAACCAAGATCCAAATTTAAAGTTTGGGCCATCATTAATACTGAGCAAAATGTTTTTAATGTTTTTGGAATATTCTATGCTGGTCAACACTTTGTATATTATGCAGTCTATCTGTACATTTAAATTTAGACTTCAATACATGGATACCATATATGTTATGCTAACATGTTTTTCACTCAACCTATGTATTAAACAAATCAATTTTTCTCATTAAGAACTTTAACTAATGAAATGAAAATTATTAGATTTTCAGTAGAGAGCAAATAAATGATTTTTGTCATCCAGGTTAAAGAAAAACGAGAGCAGGCACTATGTAAGAATATCTTTCTCATAAATGTCATGTTCAATGAATATTGGTAGACTTATTGTTGCTGTATGGGTAAAAATAATTTGTTTATTTTCATGACGAAACAAAAATTCTTTAGTAAAAAATGAAGGAAAGATGTAGAGAAATATAAAAGGAGAATTGTTGTTTCCATTCCTTGAGAAAATGTCACTTGAACTCCACCATATTGTTTGAACAGTCAATGTAGAGGATTAAGCAACCAGTTATAGTAGAGTGCAGTGCCAATTTGTGAGAAAAGTCTTAGAGTCAAATTGAATATCCAGCGAAGTTTTCAAGATAAGAAAGATACCTGTAAGTATATTTTAATGCATGTACATGTTCTACCCACTATGTATACCTTAGGTTCTCATTACAGTATTTCACTTTTTTTTCTTGTTCCACAGATACCTCCTCAGCCCCAAATCAAACATTCTACTGAGAGAGTAGGTCCTACCAGTTCAGAAGCTTTTGCAGACTACTGCACAGAAGAGGGTCTGATGATCCATGGGGAAACGGGCCAGAATATTTTATTAGATGTTGGAATCCAGAGTGGGGAAGATGATGAAAGCACTACACAACATCATCTGTTAAACTTGTATTGCACCAACAAGCTCAGTGATTCTAATACCACGAAACTAGACACATTACAAGAAAATGTTGGTGATGTAGAAACCAAGTCAAACCATGGTTTTTGTTTGCTTGATGGAGGTGAATCATTGCCATCCTTACCAGTTGATTTAGAGACCTATCCTCGTAGTCAAGTAGCTGAAGAATTAGTATTTGATACTAATGTAAGACTTATGATGAGGAGAGTTTGGCAGACTGATGCTTTAGTGATTGTTTTCTACATCAGTGCTCTTGTGGCAATAGACGAAGCAAGGATAACATTAGATGTCCCATCAAATATGAAGGTAAATGAACCATTGCATGTGATACTCTATTATCAATAATGACACAAACATTGTTTTGATGTGTATATGAAGTCACACAAATGTTTACCAGCAAGTGAACAATTTTATCACATTTTCACAGCCTTCCATGAAAATAGTTCTTACGTTTCATTAAGATTATCACTTAATGCTTTGAAACTACAGATTTTCTAGAATAAACTTTTAGGGTTTAAATCCTATCTCTCACAGGTTTATCCTAACTTTATGCTACGCTCACAAAGGTTCGTACGAACGATAATTTCGTACAAATCTCCCTGTTTTCCCATTGTCTGAAAATCGTTCGTACGGCGTTCGTAGCAGTTCGTATGGCATTTGTGACCGAGGCTTTAACAAAAGGTTTTTTGTGTGACCCATATTGACCCATATTACATACTTTACTGACTACACATAAAATAAGAAATCTGAAAATTCTATCCATTAGATAGCCCTAAACTTAAATGCTGTGTTATTACAGTAATGCAATGTGAATGCAATGAAAGTGGGTTTTCAATGAATAGATGATTTATTATGTTGACAGGTTTATTCTTCATGTATGTATGAAGAAGGTCTTCTTATTGATCTGTTGCAGTGTATGATAGATGACAAGGAAACCAATCTGATAGATATTCCACGATTGGGAGTAACACAAGCCAAGTTGATGTGCCATGTACCTGCCGCTCATATGAGTCTTGGAGGAGAACTTACATTTAAAGATGCTACCAAAACACTCAAAAGATTGTTCTTTCATGCACCAATTCATATCGAAGATTTATTGAGGTACGTTTGAAATTAGTTATTTATTATTAAGTGGTCTATTGATACACAAGTGGCATTAACAGAAGAATAACCATCTTGTTTTGAGGTAGAAATACTTTGAGAGGTCCATACCGTCATTGTTATTGGTATGTTTGCATTCAAAGTTGTACATCTCAGATAAAGCATAATCACAAGTAAGATTGTTCCATGGATGCCTGAATGAAAAATTATAAATTTACTTCTCAGATTTGCTTTTCATTCCTTTGCTTTTAAAGCTTTTTAAGTTTGGCGTTGGGATTGATAGTACAATCATGACATTTATATCTGAACAATTGTTGGGTAAAATACATGAATGTAAACTTTAATATACATGAAAGACATTTTGATGGTGAATAAAAAAACACAGCTACTTTGCTTTGCTGTATGCAAAAATAGCTGATTGATGGATTACTGCCCTACTTAGGTCATGTATGTATCTTGCAGAGCCAATGAATTGATTAGATATTGGGGTTATGAGGTCAAAGGTCATGAGGCTCATTATGCATGTAATAATAGCTTGTAAACGCATTCTCATTAGAACTGACAGATGGAATACAATCAAACTAAGGACATGTATATCTTGCAAAGCCAATGAACTGATTATATTTTGTGTGTGAGGTCAAAGATCAAAGGTATGAGAAATAGCTTGTAATATCAATAATCGAACTTAAATTTGAAAAATTGCTTCTATTTTGGTTTGTAAAATTGCTCTATGAAGGAGGCATCATTTTCGAATGCACGCAGTTGAAGTTCCATCTAGTTTTTTCTTGACTTGTTAAAATTGAATGCAAGCCATAATCATCATACAGCACTTATTCTTGGATAATTAATGTTTTTGTCCACTATGCAACTGTAGGCCTACTGTATAAGGGCGCGTTCATGCTTGATTTTGACGGCCAGAATCAGGCATCTGTTACGCGTTTAGTTTAAAACACGCTTGCGTTCATGCTCACTTTTGTAGAATCACCGAAAAACGGCGATCACGATCGCCGATCGTAAACTCACAAAAAGATGCGTTTACAATTTGTAAACGCGTTTAAATGGGGTCAACGCACTGACCTCTAGTGGGTCTACGTAGCATGCGCACACAGTTTTGCGAATCCAGCTGAAGGCCACCCAAGGAGAATTGCCTGGAGAAGTAAGCATGAACACTACATCGTGGAACTGCGATCACGATGAGCGTTTACGATGAGCGTTTCAGATCGCTCATTCTGCCTTCAAAATTTAAGCATGAACGCAGCCTTAGTTGCACATATCACACTCTTTGATGTACATGAGGTACAAAGTGTGTGTACACAGGAGTTCAGAATGAGTACATTTTGGAAATGCATAAAGGCTTAAAGGGATTAGATATCTTTGCCTCAGATTCTTTTTTTTTAATCCTGAATTTAGCTGATGCTGCAATCATAATTAACCTTTAGGTCAGTCAGGAATCCCGTGACTTTTACAACCCGATCGCCCGTCTGACTATCAAGAAATTTATGATTGGAATTAGAAATGTAAAAAAACGTTTTCCCAACGGTTTTTATAACACTACAGTCTATTGGGGAAAATGAGTACCGTATGGTAAAATCACTTATAGATTTGTACCTTTTTGAAGCCCTTCATGATCATTTTAAATCGCGATTTTTTTTTTGTTTAGAGCTTCAATATGACACCATATCACAGACACAGTCACTAATAACAGATAGTGCCATGCATCTCAGATTTGTAAAACTGGAAACATTGTTAAACAATGCCTTTAAACATGAGCATGCACAATATACATCATAACTGCTCAGCTCAGAATGCAGGTAGTGGCAGGCAAAGAAACCTGTTTTGTAATGTCTATAGAATGTGCCTGATGGAGGTGTGTAGCTTATAATGATAATATAGACTTGGTGTGCTTCCGTTGTAAAACATGTTTGCTATCATCTTGGTGTGCTTCCGTTGTAAAACATGTTTGCTATCATCTTGGTGTGCTTCCGTTGTAAAACATGTTTGCTATCATCTTGGTGTGCTTCCGTTGTAAAACATGTTTGCTATCATCTTGGTGTGCTTCCGTTGTAAAACATGTTTGCTATCATCTGTGAATCACTTCAATTACACTTGAGCCATAGATTCATAACCCTGTCAAAGCAACCAAACCTCATCATATCCACTTCTTGTTATCATGACGTATTTCTTTTAAAGGGATCGTTTAACAATGTTAAATCTGAGATACACGGTCCTACATGTAACCAGTGTCTGTGATATGGTGTAATATTGAAGCCCTAAAAAAAATCGTGCTTCAAAATTATCAAGAAGTGCCTCAAAAAAGTAAAAAAATTTGAGTGACCGGTTTTACCATACTCGTTTTCCCCAATAGACTGTAGTATTATGAAAACCATTCAGCGAACGGTTTTCAAAATTTGTAATTCCAATCATTAACATCTTGATAACCAGACAGGCGATCGGCTTGTAAAAGTCATGGAGTTCCTGACTGACCAATTGGTTTATAATTATCATTGCAGCATGAGCTAAATCAAGGATTATTTCTAAAGGATCTAAGACAAAGTTACCGGATACCTTTAATATCAAATAGTAATGAGTAGAGCACGAGGCTTATACTTAATATAAATTGCTTTTTCTTTTGTGTATGTCCTGATTCATATTAAGAGCCAAAGAAATTACAACTGAGGAGTTTGGGAAACTGTGGCGAGAGCTGAGCTTGGATCAAAGATTCATACAGGAAGCCAATGGTTTGACCATTTCAAGAATCATGAACAAGATGACGAGTATTCACATGTTTCCTGTTGAGATTATAGGTAGGTATTACTGTATATCCCGATATATATAGGGGTCAAGAGTTATGAACAGGATGACGAGTATTCACATGTTTCCTGTTTACTTTCACTTCTTCACTTTTAAGTACCTCAAGATGATACTTCTTTCATATATCTTCTCATTTTTGTCCCCTTAATTTCTATGGCCATACTAAACTATTATTCTATGGGCTGTCTTATTGTATCCCTCGGCAGTCTGTATGCCGGAAGTGTACTTCAGATTCAGCAGCGTTACATCGCTGCCGTGTCATATTCTTCTATGCGCTCTAATTGCCACATTCCTTGACAGATTTCTTTCAAATTTTGTATGGAGTCTTATCTTGGTATAATCTACATACCTATGATTTTTGGTGATGCTGCCCCCAGTGTTCCCTCTTCTATAGTGTAAACATCCATATTTTTGTGGATGGTTTGTGTGCGCTCTAAAGGCCACATTGCTTGAGGGATTTTGTTCAATTTTTTGAACGAAGGTGTATCTTGGTATAATCTACAAACCTATAGATTAAGGTGATGCTGCCTCTAGTGTTCTATTTTGTATAGAGTCAAAGGTCATATTTTGATAGATGTCTTGTGTGCACTCTAGTGTGCGGTCTAACTGCGTCATTTCAGTCTTGACAGATTTCTTTCAAATTGAGTATGAGAGTGTATGTTGGTAAAATCTATGCACCTATAGATTTTGGTGATGCTGCCACCAGTGTCCCATGTTTTATAGTGTCAAAAGGTCATATTTTGTATTTATTTAGGCCATGACATGCTGTCTGCTCGATCATACATGTAGATATAGCAGCATAACTTATATCTCACATCAAGTTTGAAATAGTTCCTAGCAGGAGATACACTCCTGTTTTACCCTGTCATTAGGTGTACATGTATATATCTAATCAAGTTTGTGTTTACTATCTGTTTTATTGTTAGGTGAGGAGGGAATCCTGGCTGCATCACTTCTTCAGTCTTCTATCTGTCTAATTCACATCAAGCTAAACAATAACAAACTGGACATCTGGGTTAAATCAAGAAGTAAGCTGCTTTCACAAGTCCTTGCCAACAAATGTGCCAGTCTGATAGAGCAGGATCAAAAGAATTAGACACACCATTTAAAGTTATCTTGCTAATGTACCAAACTCTTTATTATACAAATAATATCTGAAGCATATTTTATGATTATAAATTAGATTATAATTTTAAATTGCTTTTGTCATACAGTTTCATTGTCACTTGTATAATAACTGCTCATGTTGATGTAGATGTGATAGTTTTGTCTGTAATCTAGCCTATTCTCATCCCAGGGGCTCCAGTCAGTATATAGCACTCTGCACATGCATCACCACAGGTTTTTCTAAAACCATCCTGAACAAGTTTTATCCATTGTTCAAAATTGCACCCTTTTAATTTAAAAAATCACTTTTTTCTAAAAGAAATTACCCAATAAATCAGTTTAAACTCCTTCAGCATATCCCCTAAACAAGGTCTACCTCAGTCAAACCTCTTGATCTAAAAAGGGTACCATTCTTGCATTATAGCAAACTCAACAAACACCCTTTTTTTCTGATTGTTGGCCTATTTGACAGCCTATGTGTCACACACCCTCCGTGAGCAGCAAGAACTCACCTTTTCACATATTCTTTGATAGTGCCTGTGTACATGCTAATTACACCAAGATGAATGTTGTCTGTTTGGAGCCAAAAGGGCATTCAGATCTACACCCTACTAGCTCTATAAACCAGATAAATTGATCTTTTCTTCAGTATCTACTGTGTGCCTAATAGGCAGGTAAGGATTAGAATGTGGATCACAAATTATAGGGACAAATGTAATTTGCTCCTCGCGACCCATGTGTAATGAGTAGGTACATCAAGGACCATTTCATAGAAGTTAGAATGCCCTTCGTACAGTAAGCACATGCAAAAACATGTAACAGCTGGTGTAATGATTAAAATCAAAAACCTTTTAGTTTGGTTTGTGCTATACATGAACAGAAAAGGTTTTTTATTGTACATGTAGTAGATTTATTATATTGTCATATCCTTATTCTATTTGATGCACATACATGTAGTCAAGTGGTTTACATGCTTTAATGTAGAGATGTAAAGGCTGTGCGTTGTTTAAGCCAGAGCACAGCACTATATAATGTCTTTGGGAAGACATTTATCTACCAGTATGTTTCCCTGACTTGACCCAAGTGTCGTACATGTATATGTAACTTGATTGGTACGGAGAAGGAATGAATTTTGATGTGCTTTTCAAGAAATTGAATATCATTAAAATTGTTTATCAGGTTAGATGAATAGAGATTTTCTGGTCTATTGATGAGCCATGACAACAGTTTTGTTATTGTTTGGAAGTTAGTTTATTCAGTTTTTGAGGGAATGGGGAAATTTCAGACTTGTTTCCTGTTTAAGATTGGTAGGTGAATATTTCTATAGCCTTTTGAAAAGGGATAGGTAAAAGTAAATTTTTTAAGTTAGGTTGACTAGATTATCAACAGTTCACAATTGTTCTTGTTTCCTGCTTTGGGTTGACCAGGTCAAAGGTTAACCTTTGGTTTTGGTCCTCAAGACTTCCTCTTCTTAGATACTTCACACTTCCTGCCAATCTTCCGCTGCATATGTGTTTCTACCATACTATGAAATACAGCTTCCTTCCATCAATGTGCATGTACATGTATAGATCAGTGTAACTCTTCATGTATGCAGTTCAAGGATGCTTTGTATAACAATGGTATAATCTATCTTTCAATATGATTTAAACATTTCAAATACCAGAACAGGTTGATATTTTGTTTAGCAGTGGATAAAACTATTTATATATATTACATACATGTATGGGCAAAGATACAACTTAACCTTTTGAGGGTGGAAAAACATAACATAACATGTAAATCTCTGGCACAGATAATACAGCTCCAATATGTTTTATCTAAAATGGTTAGGTAAGAAATGCCAAAACTGGTCAGATATGCTTGACCCTGAACCAGACTTGCAACCTTCAAAAGGTTATGTTCATCTGATGGGGTGCAGGCATGGAAATGCAACCCATTTTAATTACTATTTACCTTTTACTTCTGTATTTGAAATTCTTTTCTTTCAAATTTGTGTGATGGAAATCATTTACAAGAATGCAATTCTTTTTACATTCAGTGTCAATTCAGTATGATTATGTGAAGTTTTCCACTTTCATTATTGGAACACCAACAAGATTCTTATGTTCAAAGCTGTAACACAAAATTCCATGCCATACCAGCAAAGTTATTGTGTGGTAGACCAATTTGAATATTAAAAACGAAATATGGATGAAACTGAACTGAACCTGAGTACATACAAACGGATAACTATTTATTTCTGTGTACCGGTATGAGAATAATATAGTCTAATGTCTCATGTGAATGTGTCATTTTCACCTTCATGTATATACCGTATGTCATATTTATGTGCTTTCAAATTGCCATTATTAGGCATGCTTATGTGTGATATTTTTTGTTGTTGATCTATGTGATATGACATTTAATGTCATCAACAATAAAATAAACAAATTACCTGTACAAGGACATATGATTATGAAATTGTAACATATTAATTACTGTACATTTTAGTTCAAATGTTGGTTATTTATGCCTACAAGCCTGATACAGGCTTATTCTAATTGTAGCTTTTATAAGAAAGCATATCTCCATGTACATGTATTGAACCTGTATCATTTTATCTGTATAAACATTGTCATGAGCATGTGATAATAAATACGAAACAAGTGCATCCATGTTTGATTCTCTCTCTCTCTAAAGCCCACAGCACACTATATTATATGATGCTCCTCTTATCCAATTTTCGAAGTTATCGCAATTGTATTAGATATGGAAATGTAGACAAACATCATCTTGATTGAGATAAATAATGATATGAATTCTAACAACTGGAATAAAAGTCAAATCGGCTTCAAGTTATAGATTGCACTTTTGGTCTGACGTCAATACAATTTTAAGCAGATTTTGCCTTTCCTTCACCAAGGAAGCTTGTTATCTATTGAAATTTAGATTTAATTAATCCTTTGACTATTTCATATCCTTAAAGGTACTGTAATGCAAAGTTTTGGGAAATTTTAAAAATTGGATAGATAGTAATTCTTTAAAATTTTGATATGTTTGGACACTGCTGTGGATGTATGATTGATTCAATTGATTTTATTTCTCATGCAAAACATAATACAATGAATAATTATATTACAAAAATATGCAATGAAAGACAAATATAATAGAAATAGAAAAGCACTAGAAAATTTAGCCCCAAAACAATTCTGCTTTCAAGAAATAACATTAGCTGCTCCCATGAAAATCTCAGAATATGCAGTTCTGATATATCATTACCCAACGGAAATGGCTAATCAGTCGATTGTGGTTGAGAAATATTGTTTTAAAGTTTAGGTAATATCAGTCTTGAGAGGGAGCTATACAACATAAAGAGTTTATTACTTACAATTTCATCATATTTTAGACTCTATTACAACCACGACAACGATCATTGAATATTGTAAAATTGCATATGCTTCTAAAATGTTCATTTGAACCAAATTCATGACCCCATACCATGCAAAACTTCGTATTACCTTTAATCATCAAGTTTGGATCTTCCGAACGCACGCAGTCTAGTGTAAATCAAGGTTTGGTATGTCCTCGAGGACAATTTGATGAATGTTTGTAGGAATATAATATCCTGCTGACAATTATAACAGTTAATGCAAGACCAAGGACCCATATTTTCCATGCGAATGGAACACCTAAATGGGAGGGGACCTCACAAGATATGACAGTCACCGAGTTGCCAATTTGCGTTTGATTGATTGCACCTTCAAAAATTCATAACTTTCTTATTTTTAATTGGCTTTTGCTCAAAATTTCACTGACCTGTTCCTCTCATTTTCTGCTTCTATTAAAACCAAATCTAATATTAGGGTGAACTTTCCCTTTAATTTCCTAATCTGTTGTTGAATTTTGCTTTATCATTTTAAAACAAAAACCCTTCAAACAAGTACAACTTTTTTAATACATTTCCAAACATCTGGTGAAGTCATGTATTTGATTACATTTACATGTATATCATCTACCATCTATTAAATCCATAAAATATAATGAATTTATCAATAAATCATAAACATGGGGGGAAAAATTGATTGTTATTCAATACCTATGACGAGTATAAAGAGAAAATTTACTTTAGAATTTACCTTCAGGCCCTGAAGTTCATGGGGAAATTTTGCATAGGATGACCATCAAATATACATGAACACAGCGTTTCTTTTGCTGCCCAGAATGTTTGGACTGACTCATCTCATTCAAATTTCTTTAGTACACAAGAGTCATGTCATATTCATGTAGTGTCAATCAGAAAAGCAACACTATTCATCAATTATAAATGATCTGAGGAAAGCTCAAGTTATGCTCCTAAGCTCCTTCAGAAATTGGGCACACCTCAAGGCCCCCTCCCCTCTCATTCTCTCTCTCCCTCTCTTTCTCTCACTAACACACACACACACTATCATCTCTATCTGGGAAATAAATGCTAGAATTCAAACTACAGAAATCCTTTTGTATTCATTTATTGTACAATCTAACGACCGATTCCTCCATGTGGAGATGGACCCCCTCCCCCGAATGGACCAAGAGATACATTTCGGCAAGTCCTGTTGGATATAAATTGTAACATGTCAGCATCCAATCAAAGAGAGACATACAATTTCTTTTTAAGATCCTTGTTTTAGAAACACGCCTTCTTATATAAATGATTTTCACATCTTTGCCGACTGCATCTGTCAGAAACTGTTTTTCTTTCATTTGCTACATATTGCTACATATGAACTTTTTGAGAAATTTATGACAAAAAAGATTTCTAAATACATGTAACCAAACAAAATTAGCTTCCTCCACATATTGATACTGGAGTTTGATGGAGACATGCTAAAGATACGTAGTGTAGTTAGAATATTCTGCCAATATCCTTTTGTGTGAAAGAAATGAAGCTTTATTTAAATTCTTGAAGGATTATAATCTGACATTGATAGAGACAACATGGATGAGATCACAGATAAAATCTGTTACCTTGCCTCGTATATCGCTTACTAATGCATAACCAACCAAAAATTCTCACATATATAAGTACCGTATCTATAATATACATCAAGCTATTGCAAAGTAGCATCAAAGTAAAATAATATGAACTCTGTTACTGGACCTCCATTAGTCTATAAGTCTGTTTAGTATTTTTGATTCTGAAAACGAATTTGTTGATGGACTTGCCTCTCCTTTATTTTTCCCCCTTTCTTTTTTACATTCTTTCTTCCGTTTCTTCACCCTTTCTGATTTCTAAAATTGTTGTTAATAAATGTATATAATGGACATAATGCAATAGAAATTAACAATTTTACCCATAACCTCATCAAATTAAACATATCGTAGCAGAATGCTTTGCAGTTGAGAATATTTTTTGTAAATGTTTTGTAAAACACAGCAAAGAACAAAGTGGATTTATTTCAGACTATTTTCTTTCATTACAAATACCTATTTGACATTCACTCTCCAATCTGAGAAGTGATAGACACAAGTTTGCATCAATCAAATAAAGATATATATATATGTATACAAAACTGTATTGGTACCACAGCTAAGACATCACAAATTACTGACCTAACACAGGTCCACCCTTTTCCTAAAACATGTCAGAGTACATCACAAAACAAAATGATCATGTTGATAGATAGTGAGTGCAATACTAATGACATGTAAGATGAAGTCGCATTTATATAACAAAGCAGGCGTGAAACAAAGTAAAATCTCATAAAAAAGGTTATCATTTTCTACCATCTCACCATTTCAATGCTTAATAATACTATAAATGATAAACTTGTGACCTACAAATGTATGTACATGTATATGTAGTCTTTATGAACAATGTGTTGGTGACACAGTAAAATCATCTTCATCTTTCAATACAAAACAAGAAAAAACAAAAGACATAATCTGTTGTAAAACAATGTTCAGCACCGGTTCATCAGAATGCCTTAACAAATCTATCAAGAAGTCTGAGATTCAAAAAGCTCATGCTTTAAGATAAGATCCAAACGTGTGAGCTTTCTACAGTACCTGGTATACAAATTTGCTCACAATCTTGCTACAACCAATGCATATATTACAGCTCATAGTAATTTAAAGAAAGAAAGAAATGTGTAATAACCTGAAACTGCATATGTTACGATCTATTTAAGCATGAGAAACTTGACTTTGATTGAAACAATGATATTAATTTTCATATTTTTTCACCCATAGCAACAAACCAGCGAAATATAATTTGTTAGTATTGCGATGGTCTAAAATGAGATAACACATTCCAGGAGGTTTTGTACACACTGGCTACAGGGTACCAGGATTGTCCTTTCTCTTAGGCTACCTAGGAGACTGACTGACATGCAGGCCATGATAGCCTAGTCTAGTCTAGTCTTAGGGTGGAGACTCAATGTTGTTGGGTTTGAGACTAGATGTTATATGCCATAAAGAACTGGTCTGTAGCCGGTGGTAACCACTGGTGACCAGGAGGAAGTGTTTCAAATCCAAGAAACTTGAAATTTCTCATCAACTGAGCTGTAAAAACATGAAAGAAACAGGTGAGAATATTTGAGAGGGAATTTTAAGAGGGAATTATATCTGTCTTGGTGGACAGACCACACATTTAAAAAAAAAAAATTTAATCAATTTTAAAATTTCAATTAAAAACATCAGGAATTTTGAAGACATTGATTAGATCATTTGAACGTTCACTAATTAAAAGTATTTCTTTTTCCAAACCAAAACCTTGGCAAGCATGACAATTTACATTCAAAATCAAGTTATTTCATGCTTGATGTTTTATCAGGATATGTCATCATAAGGTATCAACAACAAAATACCTTTGCTGTATGCTATGAAAGGAGACTCCTGATATGTAACTTTTGTACTCGATGGGGTGTATCTGGCAATCCAAAGTCCAAACAAACATGATATCACAATAGCAAACTAAACTCAGATCAAATATTCTCTCACAAATCTTGATGCACAAAGATATGTATAGAAGGCAATGTAGCATTTCATGGGAATAGGACCCTGTACTACATGAACCTAGAAAGAACTAGCTAGAACTGGAATGTATTGGTATAGAGCTACATGTACTATCAGAAATGGTGTGGTACATGGGGCATGTGTGGGAAAAATAATTCAAGCTGGTTATTTGCACTTTATTCCAATCTGAGGTTTTTTTGTTTAATCTTACTATTAAAAATTTGCTTCAACAACTTTCTTTATGAAAATGTTCAAAATAAAAATGAGTTGATTTTGTTACCAACAACTACATGTATGTCTCTGAGAACATCAATAACTAACAACACAGGCAATATTTATACATTAGGTATTCAAAGCTTTATAATCATTGAGATAAATTTTGTACCATTCCACAAGTTGATTTGATAAAACCTGAGAAAAATGCACTTTAACAAATTTGTGAGGTACCAGTGAAGATTTGGTGACTAAACTAATGTACATGTAATGGTATATTAAAAAATTATTTGATAAGGTTAAAGCTCCTAGTGCTGGGAGCCCCAACATTTTATGGCAAAATTTCACTTTAATTGTATCATGTGAAAGAGGATGTCATTTAAAGCTTATCTGTACTAGTTTATAGGAGGGATTAGACTACCCTGCAAGGTCACTGGACAGGTGGTTATCTCATCAACTCAGTTCTCAATTAACATAAGAAAAAGAGGATCATGGGGGACCGATGGTCACCGATTAGGCATTGCTCTCTATGTAGGGAGCAAGAAGCTACAAGTAGGACAGTGTGGCTTTAAAGACACATTTCTGCAAGGATTTTCAAAACAAATGTGTTTCAAGTCAAATATTAATGAAAGAATACAAAATTTAGGTTTTCTGCATACAACAGAAAACCCAAATTATGTATTCTTTTATCAATATTTGTCCTCAAACACATTTTTGGGGGGGAAATCTTTGCAGAAATGTGTCTTAAATGACATCCTCTTTCATGTTACAATACAATTTAAGTGAAATTTTGCCATCATATTTTTGGCAAATTTGGGGCTCCCAACACTTTATAGAGGGCATTAAAAGAGAGTTTGAAACCTACCAACATCAGATCTTTCCCTGGCAAACATGATGATGACTTGACTACATCCTAACTGTTCCTCAGCTATATCTAGAAGCTCCACCAGGCTGTAAAGAAAAAGAAAATTCTAAGCTTCACTTGCAATAATCAGATACCTCCCAGTGAATTTCTTTATTTCCTCTCTAAGGCATTACAAATAGACTACCTTTTAAGAGTCCTTACTCTTGCTTTCTCATCCTTTTTTTGTGCTTTCATTTTCTTTTCTTTTCTTTTCTTTTCTTATCATCTGTTTTGTTTTTCTCTTGCTCATATATACTTGTACAAAATTACATTGGACCATTTTCAGCGTGTTTTCTGCTTTCTGCATGCTTGTTCTCGGAGAATCTTTGGACGTGCAGGTCTTTGTATTTCTTTTGTAGGGGCTTGTTCGGTGTACAATAGTTTATATTGCTGGTTGCTAGGTTGGACAAACCTAGTGCTTGTTCGACCTGGCGACGACAGACTGATGTATGCAAACTTGGCCTTGGCAGGGGAGACCCAGGGATCTGGCGCGGGCAGGTGAATTTGTGCATCTTTGGTCTCTTTGGAAGCAGACATGTACATTGGACAGGATATGATGCACGCTGACGATGGTTTAGTACTTAATTTATACTGGGAATCTTGCTCAACAAAGCCTAGCTTTTCTGAGATTCCCTTTTTTTCCCCCTCTCAGTTAAATCGAGCAATATATAATATTTTTTCTTATTCTCAAACTTAAATGTCCTCTGTAAACTTACATTATTACGTACATACTTATCAGTATTTCATTTCTTGTATTATTGTTCTTATTATATAAAATTATTGTAATACTGCATGGTTTATATATGTCATTTTAATTTGTGGATATTTGAGTGGGAAAAATAAATCAAATCAATCAAAATCAAAATCAAATCAAAGGATAGCACTTGAAATGTGCTCATATTCCTCAAAAAAGCTAGAAAGAATTTTAAACTGTGGACCAAATTTTGATGCTAAATGTACATTTGTGACCTGTCCCATACAACCATACAACCTGTAAATATGTGATGTACATGTACATGTAGATGTATCTGTGTAGTGTTTTTCAACATGATTTTCAGATGAATCATTTCAGTATTTTCATGATTCCAAAAGACCAAAAGCTCACAATACTTTTACTTTTGTGTGATAAATAATTAACTTCTAGACAGTATCTTTCACAATGCAGTTGTAAGTTTTCACTTCCAAACTCTTAATTAATTTTAATGCTGTAAAAGCTACATGTAAATATATGTATAAATTTGACATGCTTTCAACTTTAAATGGGGTGGTTAACATTTTACCAAAATAATAATAAACTGAAGCTAGAACTTTATAATGAAGAAAATGTTGGAACATTTTAAATTTTGCATTGACGACATGTTTTTTTTTCTCAGTAATCTGACAATTTTTAGAACTAGATTGAATTATTAAAATAAATTAGTATATTGCAGGACAATTTCACAACTTTTTAAAGTTGTTCAGTTCTTTAAAAAAAAAATTTAAAAAGATATTGATGGCTCTATTTTGTTTCTTACATAGTTTTGAGGTTGTGTGCGAAATTGTGCGAATGAGATCCGGAAGGGCTGAACTCCTGCTATCAAACTTCATACCTACCAAAAATATACAATGGAGCCTGAACCTACATGTACATTCCAAATAACAACATTGGATAATTAATTCATGATCCTTTACTTATTTCAAGTTTCTCAAGAGCTCTACTATGATGAGAAGAGAGTGCATACCTGTCTCTTCCTCCTTGATGCAAACTGGTCTCTGGTAACTGGATGTACAAACGAGATTCCAGCAATATAGACTCCCACTTCACCAACAAATTATCCGTCAAATGATGGAGGAAGCGGATGTAGTTAGTGTCACTGGGCCCTCCTCCTCCTGCTTTGCTTTTCTGTGGTATAGGTGATGAATGTGGTATACAAATTTGCATTTTGATTAATGTCATTATAAAATCAAGCAGTATGCAACATTAACATGTACATGCAAATTCATGCACCACAAGAAATTACAAATATGAACATTCCCTCTCCCGTGTCTCATTGTACACAGAGGACAATGCCTCTCTATCCTTTTGCTTTACTTGGACAGGTCATTATTCATTTCATCATATTATTCAGGGTTTAAAACATTGGCTTGACATTTTGATTAAATCTCATGTGAGGTATGAGTTTATTTATATACCCTTTTACCAAAGAAAACTGATTGAGATATAGAACCATGTGAACTTAAACTCTGAAGAGAGGAATAATTACCTTGAAGAATGCCGAAGCCAAGAGGCCTGGTCTTTCATCTTCCTCAGTGACACTCTTAAGGATAAGACTATTGTCTGACCCTGAAGTGACATCAGGAGCACTGCTGAGGCGCCCTACCGAGGGTGAAGAGATAACTCTTTCCTGCCTCCCTGTAACATCGACAAACAAAAATACAATATGATTACAAATCTTTCAATGACATATTTATTTTAAGGTGCAATTGAATATCAAATGGAGTTTGTTTTTTACAACTCAAAAGTGAGAAGAAAAAAAACATGAGGTCAAAGAATGACTTAAGCTCAGAAAAGTTAAAAAAGAGCCAAGGCCTCCATAATAAACTCAAGCTTTTTTTCTTTTAAATCAACACTGAGGAAGCTTATTTCTACCCTTAAGGATTCATATCCGATGTATTTATTTTTGAGAATTAGGCCTAAGCTTCTGCAGGCTAATATACATCGGTTCCACTTACCGGTACCAGATTGTCTGTATGATGCGTTTAAGGGTTTTTTTTTCCGGATTTTCTTCGTCGAAATTGAGCTCCCTGTTGAAATTCTTGCAACTGTATTTTAAACTGTTACTGTCAATGGATGATGTTGTGCCCAGTAACAGTTTAAAATACAGCAGCAAGAATTTCAACAGGGAGCTCAATTTCGACGAAGAAAATCCGGAAAAAAGACACTTCATGCATCATACAGTCAATCTGGTAAGTGGAATCAATGTATATTACATGTAGCTTAGACCTACATGTAGGTAGGCCTAATTTTCAGAGATAAATGCATCGGATATGAATCAGCTTAAATTGAGTAGATCTATTTCGGGCAAAGTTTTGTGGCCACTGGCCAGATATGGCCAATAGCCCAATACGTTTGCACCGGAGACCAGCTATAAGCCTAAAGGAGGAGCCGACCCTACTCGAATAGGCTAACGAACAAAAGAGACAGATATTTTCGGCGGTTGTATTTTGTATATTTTATGTTGCAGCGGTTTGCTGTGAAACCTGTGGAAAAGTGTATACTAATAATATCAATTTTTTCCGAAAAATACTCCAAAAATAACAAGAAAATTGACACGAAACAGGTAGACTAATAAACATAATGACTTTTACTTTTTAGTTTTAAAGGTCAAGTCCACTCGAAAAAAAACTTACTTTCAATAAAAGCAGAAAAATCAGACAAACCAATCAAAAAAAGTTTGAGCAAAATCGGATAACTAATAAGAAAGTTATGAATTTTTGAAAAAGTATGTAAAACTATGGAACAATGGGAATCACAACACAAATTGCCAAGATGGTTATCAGTTTGTGACGTCATGTCCTCACAACTTATCAATTGCTTTACATAGTTTAATCCCGATAATTTCCCTTTTTATCCCCCAAAACTTGATTTCCCCATACCTTTGCCCAGGTTATATGAATTGTATTATATTGCGTGCATGACATTTCCCAAAAACTTTTATGAATTTTGTAGAATTGATACTATTTTCTGAATATTGTATTTCATAATTATTGATTTTTATATAAATAGTTTATTAAAATTCAATTTTTTCATGATTTAACTGGACAAAAATTACTCTTTATTTGTGCATCCACACAAACACATATTACTAACAATCTAACTTGGAAATAAGATTCTTAGGGTGAAAATAGAAAATTTATATTATCAATATACAGAAAATAATTAGTAGATAGTGAGGACCATACGTCACAGACTCATGAGTGAGTTGCCAATTTGTGTAGTGATTTTCAAAGTTTTTCATGTCATTAAAAATTCATAACTTTCTTATAAGTTATCCGATTTAGCTCAAACTTGTTTTGATTGGTTTGTCTGATTTTTCTGGTTCTATTGAGAGTAAGTTATTTTTCGAGTGGACTTGGGCTTTAACTCATGATCTTTTTTTTGGCCATTTAATGAATATCACCGGGCCCCATCAGGCAGAGCTGAGGATTGAAATGGGTTATAACAAAATATCGCAAAAAATATTGCAAAATTATTTACTTTACTTGTATCAAAGAGAACTGTTGCTGAGCTAGCGCCATGAGCGTCCCTGGACGGTGTGTGCGCTCTATAAGTTTACACTATTATTATTATATTTACTTCATTTTGGGTAGATCTAGGCCTATGTTTTAGTAGGGTAGATTCTCCACACCACATTTCCACACCGGAGTTACGGGTAAAATTTTGGATAGGCTTCTGAACAAGTGCAAGCGCCAATGTTTCAACACCTATGGTCTATGGAATTGAAATTGTATTAAAAGTCTACCAAGCATGGCTAGACTTAGACCGAAAGCTTCAGTCTCTATACCGTCGGTTGTTCCACTGAGACTACGTCTGGCTCCACTAGACCTCCGGTTATAGAGACTGAACGATCGCCTATGCCAGCCTATGTTGAAATATCACGGCTAGAATTTAGCCGTTAGGCCCCTCCCACAAACATGAACAAACTTGCCACGGCCGTATTGTTATGCCCCCAAAATCCCCCAAAATGTCATTTTACCTCGTGCATATCCAATTTTACATTAGGCCTAGGCTATAATACATCGGTTCCACTTACTAACTTGATTGAAATAATCCGTTTAATGGTCCCTTTTAAGGAAATTATGGGTCAAAATCGACATCCATGTTGAAAATCTTGCAAGCCGTGTTAAACTCTCGCTGCCGTCAATCTCATCCCTTCTAGTCTACGCCGAAGGCAAAATGATTATGAAGGAAAAACTGTGCGCCATCTACAATTCAATTCAATTCAATTCAATTCAATTCTGGTTTTATTGTAAATAAAAACATACTGAATAAAAAGTCCGGAGACTCATACAATTCAGTTTACAAATTATAAATACATACAAGAATAAAGAAATCAATACTTTTAGCAATCTTTTAAAAAATATTAATTACTAATTCTAATGAACTAAACAACTAATTTCAAACAATCGTGAAATAATACATGTTCTAATTGTGCAATTAAAACTTTTAAATAGTAAAATAAGTTGTTACCATTTTCTAAATGTCATATGCAATTTTGTAATACACTTTCAAATTAATAAGTAGTCTTTTTTAAACCTAGTTAACATTTCTTTAAAAATATATTTATATATAGATGATTATCCGAGAGATATGATAATTCAAAATATACAATTTATGTTAACTTACAGAGTATAGTCCTTTCATTTTACAGGTAGTATAAAATCTGATTTAATCTGATTAATTGGCATGACAAGAAATTAATTAATTACATCTAGGTCACATATGGTCATAATATTGAGTGAAAATGTCTATAGATTTGAATTCAGGATTCGTGTGAAGTGGGGAATGGGAGACTGCCTGTAACGTTCTGTTCTCATTTTGGGGGTATTGAGCTGGAGAGAGTTGCGGAGAGTGCGTCGTGAGATAGTTTGTCTGGTTTCAGGTAAGAGATGGCGGTGGCGGTCTGAGATCAGCAGGGACTTAGCAAACTTTTCGCAAAGAACAGAGCGTCGTTCAGACAGTCTGACAACACTCAGCGACTGCAGAAGTTGAGCATAAGACATTGTATCGGGAAATGTACCAGTGATAATACCCAATGCTCTCCTCTGCAGTCGCTCAATGCTGTTTACTTGGACAACAGTTAAACTAGATGACCAAACGGGTACACCAAATTCAAGACACGGACGAATGTACATCATGTATATCAATACCAAGTCCCGAGTGTTGACACCGTTCCTTTTCAGTTTACTCAGTACATATAGTTTGCGTGATGCGTTTTTGACGATGGTTTTGATGTGTAGATCCCATTTAAGATTATCTTGGATTGTTATACCAAGTAATTTTATATAAGATACCACTTCAAGCTGATTACCATTGATCTCCAAATGGGGGGCAGGCGGTGCATTACGCAAGAATGAGATCAGCATGGTTTTGCACTTCGTTGGATTGGGCCTCATGTCGTTTATTTCACACCAATCAACAAGAGAATCAATGTGTGTTTGTAACTGCGGAGGGTCCGACTTGTTGACAACCTCTAGAAGGCTTAGATCATCAACATATTTCCAGCGGTTTTCTGTAGACAACGCGGCATCATTAACCATTATCAGGAAAATAATGGGTCCTAGTTTAGTTCCCTGAGGAACACCACAAGTGAGGTGGGAAAGATTTGATGTAACCCCGCGATAACGAACAGTTTGCGTTCTTTGCGTCAAGAAACTACAGATAGTCGGGAGAATGGAGCGGTCAACTCCTATGTCAATCATTTTTCTGATTGCTGTGACATGGTTGATATGATCGAAAGCTTTACTGAAATCGATCATGCATAAGTTAACATACTTCCCAGGTCGGTCAATTCCCCGATGAGCATTATCCAAGAGACTGATTAAGTAATGGCAAATTGATGTTCCGGGCATGTTCCCAAACTGTTGGGGATCAATAGCATGGTGCACATCTTCAATAATCCAACTGGCAAGGAATCCCTCAAACACTCGTGCTAATACTGACGTGATAGAAATGGGCCTCAGTTGGTCAGGTGTCGTTGCCGGCCGGACCTTAGGCACTGGACACACTGATGCATTTTTCCAGATATGTGGGAAACATCCATTTTTCAAACAGCAGTTGAAAATGTGGGTGAGCGGCTCAGACAGCTCGTACGCAAATTCCTTGATGAGGCGTGTTGGGCAGTCGTTCGGGTGACCAGCCTTGGAGATATTGACTTTTTGTAGACACTCAAAGACCTTTTGTCGCTCGATGATTGGAGGTGGTGTCGGCGCAGGGAGGTAATCCGGCAACGAAGCCAGGTCGAGAGATGGAAGGGCCGAGCAAATCCGGCTAAAATGAGCGTTTATCTCATTCGCAATCTCTAAGTCGGATTTGTCGGCTGGAAAGCTGAGAGACTGTTTCTTAAGTCCTGCTAGGTGGCGAATTTGCTGGTGCCATTTCCCAGGTTCACTGTGTTTCAGATGTTCCACTTTCCTGCTATAGAGACTTTTCTTGGCAGAGCTGATTTCTCTTTGTACCTTATTTCTTACTCTACGAAATGAGTCATCACCTCGCGTATAGCTGATATTGCGCTGAGTAATGGCCCGGCGGATGGCATCATTCATCCATGGTTTATCGTTGGGACGTCGTTTGACTGTGATAAGATCAAAGTATTGCCGATATTTTGTGTCTAGAAGTTGGTGAAGATTTGCAGTCATTTTGTTTCCATCAGTGGATTCCTTATATTCTGACCAGTCCATCTGCGTGATCCATTGACCAAAGGCGCGAATGGAGGAATCACGAAATGGTCGGAAGGATATTTTTGTAGTGTTACGTGGTGGAATAAGGAGCAGAGGAAAGTAAGTAATAACAGAGTGGTCACTTAAAGCAATGGGTGCTGAAATGACAGGCTCTTCATAACAATCCCCGAGATCTGTCAATAATTTGTCCAGGATGGATGTACCCCTGGTCGGTTCTTTTACTACTTGGGACAAGAGGGTGTGCTGTTCCAAATGATCTGTAGGAAGGTCATTGAAATCACCAAGGATTATGAAAGATGCATTCTCCGACAGGGTTCGAGCCCTATCAATCATCATTATGATGTGATCACTCAGTTGGTCTTTATGTGGAGACCGAGGTGGGGAGTAGAGTACACAAACATATATATCTCTTGAAAGGCGGATAGTAGTAGATGATCGTAGACGAACCCACAAGACCTCCAGATGTTCAGGTACATGTTCTTTGAAGATTTCATAACAGTTTATATTCTTGTCCACATAGAGAAGAACTCCACCACCTATTCGTTCGTTACGATCTTTGTGAAACTGTTTAAATGATGAAAGTTGATATGCAGAAGCCGGGTTGTCCTGGGAAAACCATGTTTCTGTGATAGCAATGAGGTGGGGAACATTTTGCATTGAACAAAGAGTGGCTTCAAACTCACCAAACTTGTTGGCTAAAGAGCGGGCATTAAAGAGCATCACAGCTGGTAGACACGACCTGGTGGCCGTGGGTCGACATGTATCCCTGAGCACTGATTTATCAATCTTTCTAATTCGGATATTGTTAAGCTGTTGCTGCTTTGTCCTATTTGTGATGATGACAGGGATGTTATAGGTCTTTCTTTGCTTTCTTCCCCTGTGTGTTTTCCGTTTCTTTGATATTCCCAAGTCATGAAGGGTGTTCCAGACGCCCTTGTCAAGTCTTGGAGGGTTTTGGTAACCAGAGATGGGATTAAGTGCGTGAAGGGTGTTGGTATCATATATCTTCCTATGTACCTGCATCACATCATACCCACTCTCCTGCTGGACAAGGGAAGGTCCCGGGTTGGGATCAACATCTCCACAGGTCATAAGAATAGTTTGAAAAGTTGCAGAAGAGTTATTGTAATACCTTATGCGGGCTCCTGCGAACTTCTGTGTGTCAAAGCTGCACATACTTGTACATGGCTCTGATTTGATGTTGTAGTTAATCACACTAGCATTGCCTGTGGTGAAGCTACATTCACAGTGTAGCAGGGTCAATAGGAGGGCAGTGTAAAGAAGGGGGCTTATCCTTCCCCTTGCCATTGTGAGTTCACAGGATTAAGTCGTCGCTGTAGCATGAATGAGGGGGTTTCTATTCACTCCAACAGTAGGTTTTACAGACACTGCGTATACATGTAAGTCAAAATGGTAGACTAATTTGTACAAATCAACTGGCGATGCTTCACAATAATTCAGCTTCAACTTTTAGCAAGATCCAACATCAACAATCCACAAAATTTGTCTAGAAGATGCCTGACTACAATATAAACAGGTTGACAGTAACCGATAAGAGAGACAAACTCTAATATCCACTAAATCTTAATACTTGAAGAGAGCTGTTTTGGGGGCAACCGTACAGGTGCACACAACCACATAACACGTTCGTAATGGCGTTATCACAGTTTTTCCTTCATAATCATTTTTGCCTTCGGCGTAGACTAGAAGGGATGAGATTGACGGCAGCGAGAGTTTAACACGGCTTGCAAGATTTTCAACATGGATGTCGATTTTGACCCATAATTTCCTTAAAAGGGACCATTAAACGGATTATTTCAATCAAGTTAGGAAGTGGAACCGATGTATTATAGCCTAGGCCTAATGTAAAATTGGATATGCACGAGGTAAAATGACATTTTGGGGGATTTTGGGGGCATAACAATACGGCCGTGGCAAGTTTGTTCATGTTGTGGGAGGGGCCTAACGGCTAAAATCTAGCCGTGATATCTTCAACATAGGCTGGCATAGGCGATCGTTCTGTCTCTATAACCGGAGGTCTAGTGGAGCCAGACGTAGTCTCAGTGGAACAACCGACGGTATAGAGACTGAAGCTTTCGGTCTAGGCTAGACTTAGACCGAAAGCTTCAGTCTCTCTAATCGTCGGTTGTTCCACTGAGACTACGTCTGGCTCCACTAGACCTCCGATTACAGAGACTGAAGTCTGGGGACCTCTTTCTGTGAGGCACTGTACGGAACAAATGGTTCGGTTCGACCGGACCGCGATGAATGAGATATGCAACGAGATTTTCACTCTTTACATCCTCATAACTGCTGCAATTATAACACAAATTAAAAATAACATATATATAGCTTATTTGACTTACGATAGCTTGCTCATTTAGATCCTAAATTAATGATTAATCCGAGAAAGTCTCGTCAACATTATCCGTCTTGGTGTTAGTTGATGAATATTCATTTTTCTTTTCGAACGTCCAATAGCTACCGTAGCTACGTACGAGTAAGCCCAGCTTGACCAACGAACTCCCACGAAACGAGTGCTCTGATTGGCCATTTGGCTATGTTTTGGTAGGTTGACCCGGAAATATTTTGGCCGCCGGGTCATATAGCCCTAGACCTATGTTCCGAGTGCATGAACGTTCGGAGATACAAATTGGATAATTCATATAAGTAAGTCCGTAAATTATCCGTTTAATATTGAGTTATCAAATTTTGATAACTGTAATTAGAACAAATGACATACCGATCTAATTTACATCTGATTTAGAAATCAGGAAATTAGATCTAGATCTAAGACTAAATAAAGAAAATCGGGGAGAAAATGTCGTGGACGAAAATATGTACATAGTAACATAGCCATCCCCACGGTACGAGATCTCTGGGTTGCCATCTGTATTGGGGAATGACAACAAATGTCAGTTTTATTAAAGAAATGACCCAAATCAGATGGTTATTGCTGTCTAGGACTAGGTCTAGGCTAGACTATAGACCCTACGCCATACAATAAATTGTCCCTCATTTCCTAAAGAGTGACTTTCATTTTAAACTCTACTCTTCATGCTCTTTAAACTCACATCTCCCTGCTCTACTCTAGTCTCTAATGACTAGACATCAACATCAACAACAACAATATACGGAAGAAAAGGTAGTCTCTACTGACTACAATGTACATCAACATCAACAATATACGGGGGGAAAGGTAGTAGCCTACTACTCACAGTGCTTCGCGGTCGACGGACATTTTGATGACGTTGACGTTGGAACTATCAAGTTCACTATTTTGCGACGTTTTTTCTTCATGTCTACTGAAATTTAAGTCCAATTTAGAGGCTTTATCAATTGATAACACCATTAATAATGATTTCTTGTCACTGAAAATAGAAACTTAACGCAGTGAGATGGAGACTTCTGGAAATGCAGCTGGCTTTTGACTTTAGAAGGGACTTCGACGCAACCACAAAACAAGGCACAATAACAAGTTTGACAAATATTTTCTTGTACTGTACGTACGTACGCGCGTATGTACTAGCTCGCAGTATAAGCTAGAACAGTACTGCACAGTAGTTCAGTACAGGCTTGGCAAGTGTGACATCTCGGCCTTGTTTACAATTCGGCCATTGCTATTTTGCGGCCCGAAGTACTGTAAGGTTCATAGTTCCTAAATTAAAAATGTATACATATTAATTCAAAAATCGAAAAGGGAACATAATTTGTTTTAATTTAACAAAAATTATATTTCCGAAGGTACACAATTAAAAAAAATATATGTAACATTGAATAGTTTTCGGAATCGTACTTTTTTTTAAACACTAGGAACGTAATATAATATTTTATTTTTGAAATAACGTACCTTCAGAATAACGAACTTTCGGAATTGGCAGCATCAAAATATTAATGTTCGGAATTCAACCCCCTGTTATGGGAACTTAGTGTTTCGGAAGTATATGAACTTATCTCTGGAATTATAAACCTTGTTAAATCTTGCTTAAATATTGCCTTCAGAGGTTTAGATGGCAGTACTTCAACCTCAATTCGCAAAAAAGCAGAAATATGCCCAAATATTCTATTTTGAATACATTCGCGATATCTATCCAGGCCGGATCAATATGATAATTTACCAAATATATTAATAATTAGTAGGCGTTTCCCGGCAAAATTTATATCATCGCGTATATAGTCAAAACATATTCTTTCACTGCGACTGGTAGAGCTTCCATTTCGTTTTTTGAGAGGGGGGGAGGGCGTTTCCAAACTGAGTAGTCAATACCTTCAAATGTAATGTATTGTAGTGTATCATCTGCATGAGACATGGGTATCAATTATGCTTTCTAGCAATATATAGAGAGTAAATAAGATTTGACCACCAAAAAAAATATCTGATTTTTTGCACAAATTTCCATAAACCCATCTTGCTGCTACAAATTTTGTGAAGATATTCTCTAAAGGGCTTGCAAAATATAAAACGGGCTTTAAAATTCTTTATTCTGAAGTCTTAACGCTCCTTTTGTAACAAGGATTTAATTTGATTTGAGAGCGTGACCAAGAAATGGTCAGGAGCCAGGTATGTACACTCATTCGTTTCTGGTGCTATTCAACCCACTAGGCCTATACTTGTAACAATCGCAAATGCTTTAAAAAATCCAAAATAGTCATAACTTTTTTTAGCTTAGAAGTTAGATCCTTGAGAAACTCACGTAAATCTTATAAAATATCACTCTAACATTACCTACAAAGTCTCATGGAGAATGTAAAAGTACTTCTTAAGATTTGCAAATCAAAATATCGTTGCATTTTTTTTTACACACCCTATATAAGTATATGGCTCGAAATTACGAGATCCTAACAAATGCGATGGAGCAAAGTGACCGAGCTTAAAGTTTTACATCTGAAACCTTGCAAGCCTCGATTTCTATTATTTCCTTTTCTAATTGTTTTATAATTATCTTTTAGTCTCGTTAAATTATCTATTGTGTGCTTATCTCTTTCTTTTGTGCAATCCACTTTAATCTGCCGTTTTCTTTTTAGCCACACTTTTATTTAAACTCTTCAAACTGACTTGAAATTTTCTTTTAGTGTGTTTTAAATTTTGCTTGATTTTATCGTACCAGTTGCAAGTATATCAATTTAAGTGAACTTGTTTTGTTTAATTTATGAATATAATTATTTTCCTTGCTTATTTGGCTCAAGTTAAACCCAAGCATGAATTTGATGTAGGTTGTCTTTTCAAACTAAAACGTGTTTTGTGTTAACGTACCGTACGTATTTAGTAGTAAATAAGTGTGTATTATATATTGTGTATATGTTTTTTATTTGTTGTTGTTGGAATACCATTAACTTTGTCACTCGCCTACAGGGCTCCTTTGAAAAGCAGGCATTGTGGCTCTGAAGGGACTACCATGTATTTTTAAAAAAACTGAATAAATAAATAATAATTGGGGGCGCATAATTTCCTTTTCTCCCTTTTTCTTTCTATTTTTATTTGTGTGCCCCATTAATGCTGCCCAGGGCGCGCGCCAAATAAGGAACTACATCAAATTTACAAATGCCCTCAACCGGCCCGGGGAGGGGCTACCTCTCTCTCTCTCTCTGCCTGTCTCTAGCTCTCTCTTTCTCTCTCTCTCTCTCTCTCTCTCTCATGGTCTCTCTCATGGTCTCTCTCTCTGTCTCTCTCTCCCCTCTCTCTCTCTCTCTCTCTCTTTTTCTCTCTCTCTCTCTCTCTCTCTCTTTCTCTCTCTCTCTCTCTCTGGGCACGATATTACTTTAGCCTCACCGTTATAGGTTTCCAGCTTTTATTTTATTTAAAAGTCTACGCCTATCATGGTCTACACCGCTTTGTGCACTTGCACGACTCGTTGCTTTGCCGGCGTTTCGAGGTCGATTTTGATACCGAAAAATCAGCTGGTCGAGTTGCCTTATGCGATGAGCCCAGCTGAGAAAGCTGAACCATAAGCTGAACTTTGATTCTTTTTTTTTATGTTCTATTCTGGTTCTTACTGGTTCTTTCTCTTTAAAGAATTTACGTCATAACTAGGACACCGGGTTACAATTTTTTGCCAATCATGGGAATTTGAAGAAGAAAAAAACAACATGAACTACTGTATCAGTATGCACATGAGTAACATTTTATTTCATCAATGATATTGTGATTCGCTGACAAGTCAACATGGTCATGAGAGTAATTTTATCAAAGTAATGGGTCCGTGCAATTAAGGGTGTCGATTTGTATCCGTGGTTGGGGGGGGGGGGATGATAGGTGCCAAAATATTTTCGGCAATGGGTCAAAGCAACCAAGAGGTAGAAGCGTGTGGCAGGCTGTTACCCCTCCCCAAGCGCGTAGCCAGGATTTCATTTTTTTTTTTTTTTTTTTTTTTCGGGGGGGGGGGGGGGGGGGGGGGGGGCGGTAGTGAGCACGCGAAGCGCGCTCCCTAGGGGGTTGGGTGCAGAGATGAAGGAGTTCCCCCCCCCCCCCTCCACCGCGAAGCGCGGAAGCTCTGACGTTTTATTAGATTATTAAAGAATAAAGAAAGAACACGATTCGATGTACCATTCTCGACTCTTAATTTTGTCTAAATTCAGCCCCCCCCCCCCCCCCCCCCCCCCCCCACTCCCGCGCGTAGCGCGGAAGCTTTGATGTTTTAAATAATTATTACTCTTATTCCTTGTCTGAGTTCATTTTCTCCCATCCCGCGCGAAGTGCGGAACGTTTTCACGTTTCATTAAATTATTAGAGAAAGAAGACGATTCGTTGTATCGTGTCCTTGTCTGAATTCATTTTCGCCCATCTCGCGCGAAGCGCGGAAGCTTTCACGTTTCATTAAATTATTAGAGAAAGAAGACGATTCATAGTATCGTGTCCTTGTCTAAGTCCAATTCCCCCCGCCCTCCCGCGCGATGCGCGGAAGCTTTGACGTTTCAATTAATTATTACTCTCAATCCTTGTCTATATTCATTAACGCCCATCCCTGCGCGGAGCGCGGAAGCTTTCGCATTTCATTACATTATTAGAAAAAGAACACAATTCGTCGTATCGTGTCCTCATCTGAATGCAGTTTCCCCCCTACCTTTGATGCTTTGACGGTTCAATAAAATACTCTTAATCCTTGTCGATATTCATTAACGCCCATCCCTGCGCGAAGCGCGGAAGCTTTCGCATTTCATTACATTATTAGAGAAAGAAGACAATTCGTCGTATCGTGTCCTCATCTGAATGCAGTTTCCCCCCTACCGCGCGAAGCGCGGAAGCTTTGACGGTTCAATAAATTATTACTCTTAATCCTTGTCGATATTCATTTTCGCCCATCCCTGCGCGAAGCGCGGAAGCTTTCGCATTTCATTAAATTATTAGAGAAAGAAGACGATTCGTTGGCTTCGTGTCCTTGTCTGAATGCAGTTTCCCCCCTACCACGCGAAGCGCGGAAGCTTTGACGGTTCAATAAATTATTACTCTTAATCCTTATCTATATTCATTTTCCCCCTCCCGCGCGAAGCTTTACCGTGTCATTAAATTATTAGAGAAAGATGACTATTCGTTGTACCGTTCTCGACTCTTAATCTTTTTTCTTCCTACGTCCTCTTCCTTTCTTCTTTCTCTCTCTCTCTCTCTCTCTCTCTCTCTCTCTTTTGGCCGGCGTTTTTTGTTTTGGGGGGGACCGCCCCCATTGCCCCCCTGGCTACGCGCCTGTATCCTCTCTGTCTCTCTCTCCCACTCTCCACTGTTTTGCACTTTTTCGCTTCGCGCTTAACATTTAGCTCGTTGTTTTTTGACGCTTCGGCTTAGCATTTGGCGCACTGCATTTCTATGATGCTGTTGATTGAATAAATTGATTAAATTCATCAATTCCTGATGAAGCCGTATGAACGAGAATTAAATATATTCTTGTCTCATATACAGTTGTCTCATTTACGTATGTATTATGAAAATGAGATAGCAACATGTGTATATTGATGGTCATCTTGCAAGTAATAACCATTAACTACTCCCATCTGGCTCTCATCATTAATTTTTCTCCTCATTTTTAATTTTTTTTATGGTGAATTATTGGGGAGGATGATTGTACAGGCCACCCCCCCCCCCCCACCTGAAATATTGGGCGGATATATCCCCCCCATCCCCCCCCCCCCCCGGGATCGACACCCATGGGTCCTTTTGGTAGGAGCTATAATTGCATTAGCAGTCACTGAAAGCTTCATCTGAGTGGACCAGGAGATGTTACTTGAAAATTAGTTCCTCCTTAGCTTCACAATCTTTGGCAAAATGCCTACCTGCATGTGATCGGTAAACTTTCTCTTGACAATGTGGGAAGAAATTAAGAAATAGGGTTTTCTTTCGCACGACTTCTCCAAATAAAATTTTGACTGTATAACACGTACCCTGTCAAAATAACATGTGTTACTTTTTTCAACTTGTTCAGAGCTGTTAATTTGGGGAAACACTACTAGGAGAAAGATTTTTTTTCTTCAGGGGTGATAGTGCAAGAGCACTAAAAATAAAA